ACAAGCGTCAGTATTTGTACAATATGACGCCTGAGGCCGAAGAGAAATTTCCTCCTTTAAAGACAGATGAATGGATGGCCGGGTCATGCCCTCAGACTACAACAAAAAGCGATTCTGGCCTGGCCAAGAAACTAACGAGAGACATCCCGTAAAATGCCGCTTGTTCTACTCTGAGTCCTGAAATAAGAAACAAGCGAGCCAAGCGATGATAACAGATGGTCAGAGATAGACCGATCTATTCAACCAGTTGTCGACTGAACAATGTTGTTCCCTCAGTGACCAAAGATGCCGGCAGAACAACGTGTCGGCAGGGTGCTGCGTGGTCAGACCGTATCCTCTGTAAGCCACCATAACACACAGCTGCTGACTACGTTATGTGCTGTGCCCGAATCAGTTGCCGCAGAAACCGTCTTTCACGCAATTAAGAATGATCAACGCTCTGACCGTTGCCGAGAAAAAGACGCCACCTCGAAACATTTAAAATATAAACAAATAGTAATTACATAGCAATAATTAATTACTGGTTAATTTTGATCCTTGCATGCAGATCCAGATTCGTGCGAGCAAACTCAACAAGACTGATCAGATTACAGTGCGCTCAATTTTTACGAGCGTTAATAAATTGCAGAAAGGGATTTTAGCCGTGCAACTGATCTAACGTATTTACCCATAAAGCACAAAGGATCAATGAAATTGAGGAAATGGACTTGGCAGCCTCTGGTCGAAAGCAAGAGTTCATCTGCTGTCAAGAGAGAGGGGCTCGGAGTCTTGAGTGACGACTATGCGAGGTTGTTGCTAACTATGCAAAAGAAGAATGAACAAGAATTTTTGTAACATCAGCACGAAATTGGTTAACAGCTGAGAACTCGTTAGCAAGACACCAAACTCTTGAGCTTTACAACTTTCAAAGAACTGCAAGAATAACAGCAAACATCTATTTGAAGCAAATTGTTTACTGGGGTCAGTCCGGAATGAAGCGTTTTGTACGTTTATTGCCTAGCACATTTTCTCGTCAGTGTCTTTTGGTCTTTGGTCAGGCCATATACTATTGGTGTTCTAGTTGATGCTCTTCTTTAACACATGCCTTAATTGAGCTTCAGACTTCAGTTTCTCGCCATTTTAGATGTTCCAGCCCACTTTTGCCGATTTTTATGAGCTCAAATCAGTTGAAACGGCTCGTGGTCACAACTTAAGTTTCAGTTCAGGTGCCGGCAAAATGGCGCAAAGCTACGAGAGCCTGGGTTATTCAGTTGAAAACCCGATTTCCGGACAATCCAATAGAGCATAATTCTTTATAAGAGCCTTTCATATGAAAGCTGAATGAGAAAAATTAGATCATTTCTTGACCCGTGAGTACCTGATGATCGATTGAATTATGAGCAGAAATATTCATTTCTTAAATAGTTTTAATAGACAGTAGCTTCGACTGTTTTATTGCCAACAACAGCCGAATCTTCCCCTCACCTGATCGAGAATTTTTTTAGTGACAGAGTTTCTCTTTCGTCCGACATCCTCCACATTCGTACTCCTTGACTGTGCTAGCTGAATTTCTTAGGCAGTTCAATGGCTTTGATTCGCGACCGTATTTTCCTAACAGTAGGAGTGACTGGGCGACAACCAGATGGTGTCGTTGTTTCATTCCGCCAGAACCTTTCTGAGTTCCGGCGTTTTTCCTGGGGGGGGAGCACGGAGTGGGTTATTTTTTGTAAAAATTAAACAGCTATTTCCCGAGAAAAATGGAATAGTACGGAAAACAACGATTACAAAGCGACGCTTCCTCTGGGCATGTCATACCATGTAGAAAAATATGGTATATGAAGATTTTTTGCCGTGCGGCGACTAAAAATACTGTTTTATTTCACACTCGTGAATACTGTGCGTTCATTGCTTGAATGGCTGGAATTCTTCGTTCTTTTCTCCTCTCCCAGGTCCAAAGAGGTTTGCCCATTCCGGTGCCATATTGCCCTTTTCTCAAAATTTTTTGTTATTTTTTCCATTTTTGATTTCTCTTTCTTTTCAGTCGGCTGTTTTCATTTGTGCCCGACTCTGAAACACTCAATACGACGATTGGGGCACTTCACATTACTCTCAACTCCAAAATGCGAATGAGTTGCCCAAATTGTATACACTTTACTGACCCAGATATAGTCACCTTTTGCACCCCCGTATGCTTGATTATGACTCGGGCTTCAAGTCACCTACGGCCAGGTTCCTTCAACGGAGTGTTTTTCTCTTGTTGTTTTCAGTAGTGGAACATATTTGCCTGGTATTTGCGCAATAGGTACTGACACTTTGTCCAACAATCCTTCCATTTGAGTTCGCTTTGTAATACTAAAGAACACAGACAGCCAGAACGTCTTTGGCAAGAATCTATAAAGGTAGAAAGCACGATAACGAGAGAATGCCGTCATTTTGCTTTGTCAATCTGTCACTTTTGCTTGATAACCATATCAAATGAGATACTGTTTCTAAATTACATCTTATATTTAAAATAAAGAATAGTAATTATATAATATCTGGCATGATATTGATATAGCATTCTAGTATTAGTCAGTTCAGATTAGTTCTGTTTTCTCCGTTGAAAATAATACCGGTCCGTTCACTATGCCCAAATAGTTATTTGAGCAAGCACGAAAAAGATTCTCTGGACAATCTAATAGAATTTTCGAAAGACTTCAGATGACCAAGAGAAAGCGAAGAGAGAAAACAACACCCTCACCGCTAATATGTTCTGCGTGTTTTGCTGCCAGATCCACACTGTGGCAGATTAATACGCTGCAGTGCCTGGGTCGCTTTCGTTTGCTTGCCACCAGTCCTTTCGCTTTTACACGGAAACCACTGCTTCCCGCAGTCTTTATCAATTACCGCCACGATTCAGCCATTAACGGCTTTCTCTGATTGCCAAGATTCTGAGCCATTTGACCAATTTGATTTGGATCAGATTTAAGTGTTACCAGTGAAACTATAAGCCAAGACCAATCAGGCTCTCTTCACGATGAGTCCAAACAACGAAATAGCGGGCTCGGCGGCGTTTCGCGAAGAAACAAAGGTCCTTCTCAGCCGACTGCGGTTCATCCTCACCACACAAACGAAAGAAAGAAAAGAGAATGAGCGGAGACTCATATTTGGCAGGTTTGCATCTATCGATCGTCGTTGAATGAGTCAAGAGCTCCTCTTCATTCCGATGAAGTGAACGTGTCGAAGGAATACCGACAAAACCAACAAAAAGGCTGTCAGCGTTACCGAGTGGCAACAGCAAAGTGAGAAAGCAGCAGGTTGCCAGCACCAACGATGAATAAAGTACACCGTGGTAAACCACAGCGGTAACTTCTTGCGGCCGTTGTTTAGCCGATGCAGATCTGGAGAATCAAAAACGAAACACCACTTCACCGGGATGACAGGTCGAAAAACACATATTTCTCGAAGCCAATTCACTTTGCCGACTCCGTTAGTTTTCGCTTCGTCACTAATGACTACTTTCGTTCTTTTTCACGTACCTTTACTTTTCATCACCCACATTTAGCACAGATTGATTGTCATCTGCCGGTTGCTAATATGTTCACGTTCATTTTCCATACCACTTCTTCGTTGTTCCTGGTTTGAGTTTTCAGTGGCGTTGCCTCGAGATCTTCAGCCTGTCACTTTCGTCGTATTTACGTGAAACGCCGCATTTGCCTCTTCCAAGATTTTAACGGTTTTACCTCACAGTTCAACCTGAAACGCTTGCTGGTCGGCTGACCTTTCAGTCACTGGAGGCTTTTGATCTTCTGAAACTTTGATATAAACGTAAAGATCTTGGATATAAACTTAAACAAAGTTTGAAAGTAGATGACACCGTGTTTTATTTGGTCGACATTTACCTTGTAAAAATGTAGACGCCGAATACCGTGACTATCGTCTATCACGCCGCGTTCAGATGTTCGAAAAAACAGTAGTAAAACCGCAGAGAAGCTGGCTTGCTTCATTCGTAAAAATGTTTTTAAACACTAAACGATTATAGATTTTCAAAACCGATTTCTCAGATGAGTCTCCATGGGATACACTAAAAAGTGACAGATTATGTGGAAGCTTGGCGGTTAGAAGTATTTGTTCAGCTATCTACACATATTGTTAATATGTGTTGTATTAGATTTTGTGAGTTTATATCATCAGCAAAAGAACTCACCGAGGTAGCCTACGTCTTTCATGTTCAAAAGAAATAATGTTGTTTTAAATAAGTAAACGACTTCGCTTCGATTCATTTTTCTGCACAGCCCCACGATTTTGTTCATTGTGTTCACTTCAAAGTTTTTCATAATACACTCAAGGTTCAAAATAAGCTTGCGCGCTTTTATTCAAACAAATGTACAACACTATTTACCAAACACATTCATCAAAATAGAAATTCTCTTTATTTACCGATCATTGCCTTGCTCGTAATGTTGGCTCAGGCACGAAACGGTCTAAAACTTAGCTGGGCCTCAGCTGCTACAACGCTGTACCAAAAGCTCACCTTTATTCTCTTCCAGTTGAGGAGCGTTGCTCGATTTCGCCTTCATTTGGGAGATCCTTTTCAGAGAAATTGTAAAACATACATATTTATGCCAGTATATATTTAACCATGCGGGTCTGTCTTTCGATATCAGCCTAGCCATTTCTCAAACAGCAGATCGCCTTAACGCTATCTGTGGCCATCTGCTCTGATGTATCAAAATTCCTGTTTTGCTATCTGTTTTCTGCTTTTAGATATCATTTACGTTTATTTATCCATCGGCTTTATCGATTCAGAAGACTCAATACGGAACAGGTCTTTCGGCTTTCGAAAGGATTCCAAGACTCATTTTCGGGGCATCTACTGTTAAATGTTTCAGCGGTGGACTTTCCTCCATCACTGATTATGAAGTTGCGATGGTATGGTCGATTCGTAGAGAAGCGCAGCGGTGTTGCTGAACAGGCCGACTATTCGTCCATCTGAACACCGTTCATTTGCCTTTGCATAGCAGCATCAACGTTCAACGGCGATGGCCGAATATCCAGGTCAGAGCCGACAAATCCTTTCTGAGGTTTGGAGGAACTTTGGCCGTTTTCTGGCTTTACCGAGCAGCTTAACGAGACGTCAGCACGAACCACACCTCACCACACTGCCGGCTCGAGGCTTGCGGAAACGCGCCGATGAGCCACCATTCCAAACGGTTTCGTGTTTCGAAGCCGAGCTTCACTATAATGTTCAGCTCGAAAGACTTTATACCAGACGTCTGCATAGCGCCCGGGATTCTGTAGCAGAGCCGTTTCACAACGCTTCTCCTGTTGGTTCTCGCACCCAGTGGCTCACCAGCAACTCCAGTTGAATCACGCCTTACGCCTTCATCACAGATTTCGCCGAAATGGCCCGACAACATTCGCTTTTTCCATTTGTCTTCACTTCGACCAACCAATCCACATTGGCTGTTGTCGTTTCACAGAAATACGTTTCAGAACGCTGTTCCTTCGCATGCATGGGCACTTCCGGGCGGGCTCTCTGTTTCCGGTTTCGGTTCAGAACCAGGTCGACCACGTCTTTCTCTCCACTGAATCATACTCGGCTTAGTCTTCACCTCGTTCTTAGCCGGTCCACCTTCTGTTTATCGACTTCATGTGCCACTTCACTCGGCGGTATTTGACCGATGAACAGCGGGCTTGACCGTCGAAGTTGGCCTTATCGACTCCGACGACTTTTCTTAGCTGCGACCGCAGGGTGATCTGTATTTCTGAATTTTGTGAACTGGTTCAGCGTCAACTCGCCGGGTTTCGCACGCGAAGATGAATGACTCCGCCATCGCCGGCTTGACACGGCGACCGGCGCTTTCAGCCGATAATTTCGTCCTCTTGAGTTTGGCAACATTTTGCAAAGAAACCAGAGCTCTCTTCTAGTCTGCGGTTTTGTCCATCGCCTGCTTTGATAAGCCGAACTGATACAACGATTTTCGGAGATCGCACCCGATTTGGAACCAGGCTCTCGACGGGTCCCGACGATGACGGAAACACACTTGGCCGAATATGCCGATCGTTGGTTCAGAGACACTGACGACGCTTCAGCGGATACGAAAGCCGCAACCCGGCGGGTCGTTGTTGAAACGGTGGTGCCGAGGTGACGAGCCGAATTTCCTCGTAATAGTGCAAAGGAGCTTGGTCTCCACTCGCGGGGCTCCCAGTCTAAGCTGATTGATCATTGATCGCTCGACTTTGGTCCAATGAACTGCCCGAAATGAGCTTCTGGTCGAAACGTTTTTGAGTACTGCGGACGTTTAATGGTACGAGCTGATTTTCCAGCAATCTTCTTTGCGAATACCATTTTCAATGACTCAAATCGTCGCGTAGTCATCAGCTACCGAGTAGTCGAGATACTATTTCGCACACAAAGCCGCACGGCGGCCTGAGCGAAGCAGAACTTCAACAGTTTTGCCGATGAGCAGTCGAATGCAAAGATAGACGAATTGTGTCGATAGTGCTTTACAGCCGATGCGGGCGTTGAGTGACGGCGTTGCCAGCCCGCGAGGCCTGTTAAATCAAAGATGAACGTTGTCGGCGAAGAAAACGGCCGTTCTAATTGCAGCAAGGCAGAAAGTCACGAGCCGAGAGTTTACACGGTCGACTGCTGAGAAGAAAAGAATCATTCGAACGCCATTCACACCGACTTTGAAATGTTATGAACGGCAAAGCAGCAAGCTTTCGTTGTTAATCCACGCACTCCCAAAGTTAACTAGAAGGTGATAATGAAACAAGAGCTCATTCTTTCAGCCCACAAGCGACCGGGAAGACTAGAGTTCACACGCGTAGAAAGAGAAATACAAGAGTTTCTGTAAGACTGCGAGAAACACAGGAAGATCTACGGAAACCAAAGATTCTAGTTTTAAAACAAAGAGCACCAGCTTTACATCAATCATTCTCTGCCTTATTTTCGCCATCAGCCGATCATTCTCTGAAGGATAAAGAAATGCGTGGGTAAAAGGTTTCGTCAGGTTGTTGAAAACAAAGGAAGGCTTATTACCTGGGCTGACACCATCTGTGGCGCGAAAGATGTCAGTCAACAGCTGAATTGAATGACGACAATGTTATAGCATTTTCTCAAAAGCCAAAGAAATTCAGTTATTTCGAATGACCGGCAAAAGCCCAGAAATTTTCAACATTTACATTCGGCTCTGACAACTTGAGCTTTTAAAATCTTTCTAAATTATGATCAAGCCTGTAAATAAATAGATTGCAATAAATAAGCGAAATACATTCAGTTCCACATGGTGACTCCGATTTTCGCACAAATCTTTCAATCGAAACACAAGGGTCTTTCTTCTCTTCTATCCAAACAGCCAAATTATTTGCGGGAGAAACGCCAATTTGCATAGTCAAACATCATCAGTCGTTACATGCCAGAAATACAAAGAAACAGAGAAGATCATCAGATCAGCGAAAAATAATCTTCCCGAGTCGAACAGGCATCTGTCTAGATCAAAGACCAATACCAACAATACTCGCACGACGGTATTTGAGCGCGCCGCGCAGTCATCACCGGTTTGCCGATACTTGCGACATGATAACCGCTATTATATCATTCAAAGTTTCGAATCTCCCAAAATTAGTACAAAGCTCGAGAATTTTCTACAAAATAGCCAACAGGCCTGTAATTGAGCGACACAAATATTTGCCATTATATACCACCGGTCGATGGTCGTCATGAATGTGTTAAAATGAATGAATATTCCACTTTTGTTTATAGAAACATCGATATATAAATATATAAAGAATGCACATACGCAGAAAATGAAAAATCAATAAGCAACTGACAAATCCTTCGTGCAGATGCCATTGAAAAGCCAGTTTAACTCGTCATTTCGTGCCTTTCGAATCGCTAATACGCTTGCTCTGGATGAGTGAGCGATGCCGAAATTCTGTCACCAAATATTTCAGCCACTTTCTTATGGCGCTTCACTTTTGCCGAACGATCAAGGAAACTGCCGAAAGATCGTTGAGTCTTACAATGACACTGCTGGGCTACCCAAGCTCTGATAAGATCTTCGCTTAGCATTTAGCGCGACAAACCTATCATACCCAGAAAGAGCCTAGTGACGACAGTTAAAACCGTACCAGAGCTGAGGTGTGCTAAAGGGATCGTTTTCGAGAGTTTTATGACTCCGGTTAATGACGAGAATGATCATGTGGTCAGACCATTACCGTACATTCGGGAAAATGATTTAATCATTCACAAACAGTTGAAATCATGACAAAGAAAGCGCTGACTGATACATCCTGCCTGGCACCACCATCATTGCTCCGATGCCTCTTTAGCCTTCATGTCGATCGATGGTTCCTCGCAATTTCTCGAACCGAACTTTCCTCCACTTCACCTGACGCCAGCCTGCTGCCGAAACGCCTTGCACTGTATACACTGGCGGTTTGTGTTCTGCGTTATACAGATCCGATTTGATTAGCCAAATCGATATCCACGCTGAGCCCAATCCAAAATCGGATAATAACGTATAACCGAGTTACTGTTTTCGCTTGTGTTTTCGTCTTCATTCCTCACCCATTTCCTCCGAATGGTGATAGTCGCGGAGATTGCCAACCTGTTTTTGTTTTTGTAAAGCACCAGTTTTCGTGTGCCACCACTTTCACCAGATTTATCATTTTTCAGAAGACTTTCAGCGCTGATGGACCAGCATCCAAATTAACATGACAGAGTTACTGGCCGCATTGAAGACCACTTACATCGTGTTCTCAAACAGCGGAGCGTTTCGAGACTACCGAAGACTACAGGCAAAAAACTTCGAAAAATTCAGTTGCTGATAACCGCTGTACCATGAGAAATACGACACAGCGTTTCATGCGCAGCGGCCCGTAACGATGGATCGATCAGAATCAAGAAGCCGGGTAGAATATCGAACTGTAAAAACACAAGATATCACCGAAATCCCGCCACCATACATCGAAGATCGTCGATGAATGACGGTATAGATTATTTGCGATTTTCATGTCGGTGTTATCATCGCGCACCGCGTTACAGTGAGAAATGTTCATAGATTCTTCTTTCAGCTGAGTTTCATTTAGTTGCTTCGTTATTCGAACTTGTGAACCAGTCTGTGTACTTCGACTGATAACGAAGGTCTGGTTGCTGGTCTTTCAAACAGTTCGTTGAATTCGCAGACAACACTTCCACACAACACTACGGAAATACGAACAGCGCTGGTGAACGAACAAAACAACATATTTATAGCTGTGATTCTTGCTGAACAAAGAAAATAAACCGCGATTTCAGTCAGCGCACGGAGAATTTGCCATTTTATATTGATCGCAAGAAACGTCTGCAGCATTTTGAAAGGATTCTGGTCAGAAGACGTACCATTCACGCATTTTCAGATTTCGTTTGCCGGCGGCGCTACTCCAGCACAACCGCACGAGTTTTTGTTATCCAGGTAGCATATCTGGTCAGTAATCAGAAAACAAAGTTTCAAGCCTTTTTTTAGCTTCGAATTCCCACATTCCGTTGAAACTTGGAATGCCTGTTTGCTTCAGATACCTTAAGTTTCCAAGATAAAGCTGAATACAGACAATATAGCACCCGATGGGTCAATATAATTTAGATCGTGTCGGTGAAGCTAAAAGCTCATGTTTAGCAAGTAGCAGAAGCCTTTAAAAATAAGAACTGGTCTTCAGTTTTTGTCTCTGTTTACTGCACTTTCGTATATCGTCGGTCAGTCCATGCTCATCTAACATTTTCATTTGAATAGCTGAAGATACAATAAGAAGCTAAATTTGGTCATTAGGTTCATTCTTCATGATTACAGATTTTGCAAAGAATCTGCTTACGAATTCCTTTAAAAAACTACAACAGCTTAGCTACTTTTTTACTTCTTCTGGTCGCGGTTCAAAAATTTGTGATTATCAGGCGTTTGTTTTCATTCATTGTCACCGTAAATATCATTCTACTGTCGGTCTGAAGTCGAGCAACGGTGTTCTTCTACTCGTCAATACCACGCTCGCCCGAAAACTCGACACGAATTGCGTAACGAATTCTTCGTAAGCAGAGTTTTGTTGCTGCGACCAATTTTTCGCACAAAATTTCATCCACAGCCTGCGTCAGCGATCTCCTCGCGCTGAGCCGCTGGCGGCGAAGCCGATGCTCCCTCCATTACTAATCATCGTTAACGCTGCGGTCTTTCTTTCTTAAACACGTTCATCTATTTATCAATCGCTCGCGTAGAGATAAAGGAGTTCGGATCAACCGAATACCTGAGATTTTGCGGAGGCCAGAAGTATTTAATATTATTGCCCATTGTGAGCTTCGAGATATCCGGAATTTTCCTCAATACCATAGCAAGATAGCCGATAGTACAGCACCGCCCCGAGCCCTCGGGCGTAGTCGTTCCGAACTGAGTTGTTGATGTTTTCATGCTGGAATGTCGACACCGTCCTCCCGTTTTTTCGGTTGCGTCGAGAAACACCACTTTTCATTGAAGAAAGAGCGATGCGACAACAAGAAACATAAAAGGAGATTGTTTGTTTTAATAGTGTCTGTTCTCGTTCGACTGTATACTTTCGCAGTTCTCGTTTTCTTCCTCTTGTGCTAAAACAGCTGATGCTGCCGAAAATTCTCGAAAATGTTAATGCCACGATAAACGTTTAGTAATACTATTAGTTCAAAGAGCTGATTAGCACGATCCAGGCGTGCTCTTTGAACAGATCACTGATGTTTACTGTTATCGACCCGGGAGGTTTTGTGAGCATTGCAGGCGAGATCGAAAATATTTGCAGTTCACCATTTGCCGCGAATATGCCCGAATTTCTGCCGCCCTACTAATCAGCCACAGCGAGCGCACCGGTAACAGCCGGCCTTGCCCGAGACAGTCCGTCCAGAGCATTTATCGCAACGAATCTGTTTTGCTACAGAACGCTGCAACGCAGATAATACCGATTCCTACATGCTCACACGCTCTCTTCACACCGCCGGTGGTTCAGCGGATATTCGCCAGACCAATGAACATGCCGCTTTTGTCCTGTCTCGCCGCAACGGTTTCCCAGCATTATAATGCATCGCTGGAGCTGATTCATGTACCCGTAGCGAAATGCGGCAAAAATGCCAATTCCTTTCAACAACGCCTGACTTAACATCGAGATTCCAGCTTGTGTAAATTATTTGCCGAAGTTACAGCAGCGTATAAAACCCGAGTCAATTGAATGCAAGCCCAGCAGACCATCCACTAGCCACCCAAGCACTGTTAGAAGCGCAGACTTGCTCATAAGGAGCCGATTAAGGTGATTTTCACGTTTACGAAGCGCTTCCTGCAAAGCGACACACCGACCGGAGATCCTCGCGACCGACTTAAAAGATCGACTTGGTTGCAAGTCAAAAGGTCAGCTTGATTCTGCGTTTTCTCAGTTCGAATACGGACAGTTATTTCGTGCCATTTGCGTGTTTTGAGTTTTTCGCCGTCGCCGAAAGATATTGGTTCGAAATTGCTTATAGACTTCATTTTTACAGACTTTATAGAATACGAGTAGCAGCAAGTCACGCGATAGAAGAAGGTTTGGTTTTACCAGCGAATCTTCGATTCGAGCGAGCGTGAATGATATCCTCGAAAGCAGTCGAAAGAAACGACGAACGACTTCCATCCGAACAAACGAAATATATTGAATACAGCACCGAATGAGCTGTGCCGCAAACAGGCGCCGCATAACCCAGAGACAACACACGGCTCGGCCCAGTTCGAGCCCGTCAACAAAGCCGAATTGGCGACAAAACAGAAAACAAAATCTGTCGTTCACTGAGATGCGGTTCGGCAAAGGGGAAACAGAATCATATGTTTTATTCAGGAATCAGAACCGTGTATTTGGCGTCAGGTCTAAAGATCGATGAAAACGGAGAGCGTGCCAGGAAGAACAGCAGATACCAGGGTTATCTCAAAAAGAGTGTCAGGTACTCGCGAATCACTCGGCCTTGTTCCATGCGCCGGTTCTACGGCAAGCTGAGCATGTAACCCGTCTGTGAGCTGACACTGCCCCGGAAAAATCAGCGTTCTGCTTCAGCTTGTTATTTGAGTTGTTTATTACATGTAGAAAACCCTTCGAGTTTCGATTTCTTGTTTTACAAGTTTAGAATTGCAGAGCTATTGATATGAATGTACCAAATCTTGGGAAATCAATATAAAGAACTCATTGCGAGTTCTGTCTTCACCTGCGATACGCACCACGAGACAGATGAGCCGACATGACTTCTATATCAATGGACCACAATGTTTTGCATTTTTTTTTTATCTGCAAATTGAAAGTTTTGTGAAAGTAGTTTTTTGTACGAATGAAAGAAAATGCAAATTTCACATACAGAAGTAGCTGATGCTGCACCGGTAGAGGTGTAGCTAACTAAATATCCAATTTTAGTCTAACTTTTTCACAAGAACTGAATAGGGAGGGGTTTTGCATTATTTGGGAAAATGATTTATTGTGTTTAAGTTTAAGCAAAACTCATGGGTTTACGCTTATAATCCAAGAAGAACCTAACAAATCTTAAGAATAGTTTTTAGAAAAAGAATAGAAAACTTTATGGGCTGTAAAATACCCAGAGCGCTTACAATTAGTGCAATCGAGAAAATGCATAGACAAGCACTAATGATCGGAGTGAGAGAGATCGGTTTTCTCTTTCATTTAGCGGATCTCCAGATTTTGAGATTTTTCTCACACACCCTCAAGCCGTAGGTGAGCATCGGATTTGAAGTATCCGAGAAAGAGTGAAGAAAAACGAGATCAGAGGAAAAGCAGAGAGTGTGTTTGTGAGATGGAAATTATGCAAGAGTCGCCACCCGAAATTTTTGTGCCTCGAAGGATTTCTTTTTCACACAGGGGGAGTCAGCTGGCTTTTTGTCTCTTGTTTTGTAAAAGGAAGGAAGAGTGGGCAATCGAACTATTGAAGATATCAAGAGGGATTCAATGAAAAATAGAGGGAAAAAGACGAAGACGAAAATGACTCGTCGAGAATCATTTTCCCTGTGGGTTTCGATTGACTTTCGTCGAGGGGGAAAAGATCAATTTGAGAATATACTGATTTTGATACTGGAAGAGAGTCTAACAATGGGGTTAGTTTTGAACAAGCAGGAATCAAATGATTGCGCAGCTAGGGCAGTTGTAAACATATAACCTCGAAGACAAGAAACTAAAGATTTTAAAAAGGTTGTGGTTTTCGATTTTGGATCAAAACTGAAGCAATATCGGGATTTGCGCGAGCGCTCAGAAGGAGTAAAAGTCAAAATGAGATCAATCAAAAGGGAATGAGCCAACCCATCATTTCGCACTAAAGCCTGTCTATCGATGTCCAGCAACAAAAGAAGTGTTCAGAGACTTTCTTATGATATTTGCTTCAATAAGTCAGTTAGAAGGGAAGAAATTAAATACCAGACAAGAAACCAGATTTTCTTTTGAAATCCTTTGTTGATCCATGAAACAATATTTTCTTTAGACTCACCCAAATTTTCGTTATTAATGACTCGGGTTTTGCATAAGTGATCGCCTGAAAATCTGTGAAGGAATACTGCAATACGTCGGATCGCTAAAATACTTGTAAAATGTTTTAGAGAAAAACTGATAAAACAAAGGTGTTTACTTTTTAATACTCAAACAATACTTTTGCAAAATCTCGAATCTTTGAAAAAGAAAAAAAAGAAAAGAAAAGAAAAAAAAGAAAACAAATAGGGGAACCGATTGGAACTGAAGAGTTAGATGAATTCTCAAAAATAAGCGAAAATTTTTTGATTGCAAACTACATGTCTCTAAAAGCTATGTATGTAAGGAAGAGTTTTTATCCGACATGTACTCGGACCGGAAATTAAAAGCTTTGTATGTGACTAGTTCGTACTAATTATTTGGGGAAGTCCAAAGAAATTTCAAACGGAAAAAATAGAGGATTTGCTGAGCCGGGTAGTACAACGGTCACCTAAAAACGCTCTGTTTTTTTTCTTTTTTCGTTTTTTGCCTGAAAGGAATTTTGTGTTTTTCTTTGGCTTAGGAATCCTACAGTAAACGTCAAATATTCTTGACCATTTATTTGGATTTCTTTAGAAACTAAACATTTTAATTAGTTAATCAAGCAGATGCGTCTATCTTTTAAGAATTTGGATATGTTGATTCAGGGGGTTGCTAGAATTGAATTTGAATTGGGAGAATTGATTCGTCGAATCGAGAGCGGATCTTTGAAGAATTGATTCAACGGAAAACTCAAACAGAACAAAATGGGATTCCTCCGAGCAATCCATTCGTTTGTTTTAAATTTAATTCTTAATGTTGTTTAATTAAATTGGTTATCAAATGGCATTTTTGAACTCCCAGAACCATCCACTAGTTTTTTGAGGAAGGGAGTAAAATGGGGGAAAATTCATTCAGAGAGCGGGACACTGGGGAAACCAGAGCCCAGAAAAGTTCCTGTTCCGTGCTTCCGTTTAAACCAACAAAATGCACCAATTGAACTACGGTTCTTTAATTAGAAAGGGACAATTTTTTTTTCGGCAAAATAACATTCAAAAATGTCTTATGTCTGAATTTTTTTGAGAGCGTGAGATCGGTTATTCAAAAAGAATGATGCGGTTTAGACACTTTAGCTAAGAAAACCTATCTTAGTGCCAATAGATACAAAGATCGGAGCGCTTACAAACTTAAGTTAAGGGAGTTTTTTTCAAAGGTTAGCCTCACGCAGTACCTGAATCACCCAGGAAAGTGCTATTATTAATAACGAACCCATGTAGGAATTGGGTGTGCCCTTAGCTGAGAGTAGTCGAGCCTGAGCCTGGGCCTGAGGGGAAGCCTAAAGAAGCAGAGGACTCGGCCGTCCAACAACAAAATTTTAGATCTTATCATTGTTATTTTCCTGTTATTTACCTTTTTATTTGTTGAATCTGTTTACGCTGCAATTTCTGTTTACACTATTTTGCTGGTATACATAATTAGACAGCGACGAACATCCAAAACGAAAATGACCTTGAACACCGTAAAGTCTCTAAGATAATCATAATTAGCGGTATACTCAGAGATTTGAAACCATGGGCTTAGGCCTGCCTTACAAGCTTTATAAACAGCTATTAGTGTGTGAAAAAGTGCCATGCATTGTCAGGAAGACTTCAGGCTTAGGCTTAGGCTTAGGCTTAGGCTTAGGCTTAGGGCTTAGGGCTTAGGCTTAGGGCTTAGGCTTAGGCTTAGGCTTAGGCTTAGGCTTAGGCTTAGGCTTAGGCTTAGGCTTAGGCTTAGGCTTAGGGCTTAGGCTTAGGCTTAGGCTTAGGCTTAGGCTTAGGCTTAGGCTTAGGCTTAGGCTTAGGCTTAGCCTTAGGCTTAGGCTTAGGCTTAGGCTTAGGCTCAGGCTTAGGCTTAGGCTTAGGCTTAGGCTTAGGCTTAGGCTTAGGCTTAGGCTTAGGCTTAGGCTTAGGCTTAGGCTTAGGCTTAGGCTTAGGCTTAGGCTTAGGCTTAGGCTTAGGCTTAGGCTTAGGCTTAGGGCTTAGGCTTAGGCTTAGGCTTAGGCTTAGGGCTTAGGCTTAGGCTTAGGCTTAGGCTTAGGCCAGCTTGGCTTAGGCTTAGGCTTAGGCTTAGGCTTAGGCTTCAGGCTTAGGCCAGGCCTAGGCTCTAGGCTTAGGCCTAGGCCTAGGCCCAGGCCTAGGCTTAGGCTTAGGCCAGGCTTAGGCCAGGCTTAGGCTTAGGCTTCAGGCCAGGCTTAGGCTTAGGCTTAGGCCCAGGCTTAGCAGGCTTAGGCCCCAGGCGCCAGGCTTAGGGCTTAGGCTTAGGCTTAGGCTTAGGCTTAGGCTTAGGCTCTAGGCTTAGGCTTAGGCTTAGGCTTAGGCTTAGGCTTAGGCTTAGGCTTAGGCTTAGGCTTAGGCCTAGGCCTAGGCTTAGGCTTAGGCTTAGGCTTAGGCTTAGGCTTAGGCTTAGGCTTAGGCTTAGGCTTAGCTTAGGCTTAGGCTTAGGCTTAGGCTTAGGCTTAGGCTTAGGCTTAGGCTTAGGCTTAGGCTTAGGCTTTCTTAAGCCTGCCTGCTTCCAAGCCTAAGCCCTAAGCCCAAGCCTAAGCCTGCCCAAGCCCAAGCCTAAGCCCTAAGCCTAAGCCTAAGCCCAAGCCCTAAGCCTAGCCCAAGCCTGGCCTCCCAAGCCCAAGCCTGCCCAAGCCTAAGCCTAAGCCCTAAGCCTAAGCCCAAGCCTAAGCCTGCCCAAGCCTGGCCCAAGCCTAAGCCTAAGCCTAAGCCTAAGCCTGCTCCAAGCCTAAGCCCAAGCCTAAGCCTAAGCCTAAGCCTAAGCCTAAGCCTGGCCTAAGCCCAAGCCCAAGCCTGGCCCAAGCCTGCCCAAGCCTGGGCCTAAGCCCAAGCCTAAGCCTAAGCCTAAGCCTGCCCAAGCCTAAGCCTAAGCCTAAGCCTAAGCCTAAGCCTAAGCCTGGCCCAAGCCTCAAGCCTAAGCCTAAGCCTAAGCCTAAGCCTAAGCCTAAGCCCTAAGCCTAAGCCTAAGCCTAAGCCTAAGCCTAAGCCCAAGCCTGGCCTAAGCCCTAAGCCTGCCAAGCCTAAGCCTAAGCCCAAGCCTAAGCCTAAGCCTAAGCCTAAGCCTAAGCCTGGCCTAAGCCCAAGCCTGGCCCAAGCCTAAGCCTAAGCCTAAGCCTAAGCCTGGCCTCAAGCCTAAGCCTAAGCCTAAGCCTAAGCCTAAGCCTAAGCCTAAGCCTAAGCCTAAGCCTAAGCCTAAGCCTAAGCCTAAGCCTAAGCCTAAGCCTAAGCCTAAGCCTAAGCCTAAGCCTAAGCCTAAGCCTAAGCCTAAGCCTAAGCCTAAGCCTAAGCCTAAGCCTAAGCCTAAGCCTAAGCCTAAGCCTAAGCCTAAGCCTAAGCCTAAGCCTAAGCCGAAGTCTTCACGACAATGCACGCTCTTTTTCACACACTAATAGCTGTTTATAAAGCTTGTAAAACTGAGCCTAAGCCCATGGTTTCAAATCTCTAGTATACCGCTAATTCATGATTATCTTAGAGACTTTACGGTGTTCAAAGGTCATTTTCGTTTTGGATGTTCGTCGCTGTCTAATTATACCTACCAGCAAAATAGTGTAAACAGAAATTGCAGCGTAAACAGATTAACAAATAAAAAGGTAACAATAACAGTAACAATGATAAGATCTAGAATTTTGTTATTTGACGGCCGAGTCCTCTGCTTCTTTAGGCTTCCCCTCAGGCTTCGGCTCAGGCTCGACTCTCTCAGCTAAGGGCACACCCAATTCCTACATGGGTTCGTTATTAATAATAGCACTTTCCTGGGTGATTCAGTATCGTGAGGCTAACCTTTGAAAAAAACCCTAACCTAACTTAAGTTTGTAAAAAGCGCTCGATCTTTTATCTATTGGCACTAAGATAGGTTTTCTTAGCTAAAGTGTCTAAACCGCATCATTCTTTTTGACTAACCGATCTCACGCTCTCAAAAAAAAAATTCAGACATAAGACATTTTGAATGTTATTTTGCCGAAAAAAAATTGTCCTTTCTAATTAAAGAAGCCGTAGTTCAATTGGTGCATTTGTTGGTTTTAAACGGAAGCACGAAAAGGAACGAAAAGACTTTCTGGGCTCTAGTTTTTGAGTGTCCCGCTCTCTGAATGAATTTTCAGTTTTTACTCCCTTCCTCAAAAACTAGTAGATGGTTCTGGGAGTTCAAAATACCATTTGATAACCAATTTAATTAAACAACGTTAAATTAAATTTAAACAAACGAATGGATTGCTCGGAGGAATCCCATTTTGTTCTGTTTGAGTTTTCCGTTGAATCAATTCTTCAAGATCCCTTCGATTCGACGAATCAATTCTCAATTCAAATTCAATTCTAGCAACCACCTAGTCAACACATCCAAATTCTTAAAAGATAGACGCATCTGCTTGATTAACTAATTAAAATGTTTGTTTCTAAAGAAATCCAAATAAATGGTCAAAGTATTGACGTTCCTGTAAAGTTCCTAAGCCAAAGAAAAACACAAAATTCCCTTTCGACAAAAAACGAAAAAGAAAAAAAACAGAGCGTTTTGGGTGACAGTTGTACTACCCGGCTCAACAATCCTCTATTTTTTCCGTTTGAAATTTCTTTGGACTTCCCCAAATGATTAGTACGAACTAGTCACATACAAAGCTTTTAATTTCGGTCAGTACATGTCGGATAAAAACTCTTCCCTTACATACATAGCTTTTAGAGACATGTGGTTGCAATCAAAAAAATTTTCGCTTGATTTTGAGAATTCATCTAACTCTTCGGTTCAATCGGTTCTATTTGTTTTCTTTTTTTCTTTTCTTTTCTTTTTTTTTCTTTTCCAAAGATTCGAGATTTTGCAAGAGTATTGTTTGAGTATTAAAAAGTAAACACCTTTGTTTTATCAGTTTTTTTCTCTAAAACATTTTACACGTATTTTTAGCGATCGACGTATTGCAGTATTCCTTCACAGATTTTCCAGGCGATCACTTATACAAAGAAACCGATCATTAATAACGAAAATTTGGGTGAGTCTAAAGAAAAATATTGTTTCATGGATCAACAAGGATTTCAAAAAGTCTGGTTTCTTGTCTGGTATTTAATTTTGCTTCTTTAACTGACTTATTGAAGCAAATATCATAAGAAATCTCTGAACACTTCTTTGTTGTGATCGATAGACAGGCTTTGGTGCGAAATGATGGGTTGAGCTCATTCCTTTTGATTGATCTCATTTTGACTTTCTCCTTCTGACGCTCGCGCAAATCCCGATATTGCTTAGTTTTGATCCAAAATCGAAAACCACAACCTTTTTAAAATCTTTGTTTCTTGTCTTCGAGTTATATGTTTACCTGCCTAGCTGCAATCATTTTTGATTCCTGCTTGTTCAAAACTAACTCGTTAGACTCTCTTCAGTATCCAAAATCAGTATATTCTCAAATTGATCTTTTCCCCTCGACGAAAGTCAATCGAAACCCACACAGGTGTTCTCGACGAGTCATTTCTCGTCTTCGTCTTTTTTTTCTCTATTTTCATTGAATCCTCTTGATATCTTCAATAGTTCGATTGCCCACTCTTCCTTTCCCTTTTCACAAAACAAGAGACAAAAAGCCAACTGACTCCCCCTGTGTGAAAAAGAAATCCTTTGAGGCACAAAAATTTCGGGTGGCGACTCTTGCGTAATTTTCATCTCCCACCAAACACACTCCTCTGCTTTTCCTCTGATCTCGTTTTTCTTCACTCTTTTCTCATACTTCAAATCGATGCTCACCTACGGCTTGAGGGTGTGTGTGAGTCTCAAATCTGAGATCCGCTAAATGAAAGAGAAAACCGATCTCTCTCACTCCGATCATTAGTCTTGTCTATGCATTTTTCTCGATTGCACTAATTGTAAAGCTCTGGTTTTTTACAACCCATAAGGTTTTCTATTCTTTTTCTAAAACTATTCTTAAGATTTGTTGGTTCTTCTTGGATTATAAGCTTAAACCCATGAGTTTTGCTTAAACTTAAACACGTAAATCATTTTCAAATAATGCAAAACCCCTTATTCAGTTATTTTGGCGATAGACTAAAATTGGATATTTAGTTAGCTACACCTCTACAAATGCAGCATCAGTACTTCTGTAAGTGAAATTTGCATTTTCTTTCTTCGTACAAAAGCTTTTTTCTAGAAACTTTGAATTTGGAGATATTAAACCTTTTATTGTGAGTCGATTGATATAGAAGTCATGTCCGGTCATTACCGATCTCGGTGGGCGTCAAGTACATCAGCAGGTGGGAAGACAAATTTCATAATGGATTCTTTATGTAGTTTTCCCAAAGAATTGAGTACATTGCATATCCAATCTTTCTACACAATTCTAAACATAAAACAAAAGAAAATCAGAAATTTCGAAGGGTTTTTCTACATGCTTAGTAAAACAAGCTCAAGCAAAACAGAAGCAAAACAGAACCAAAACAATTTTTCCAGGGCGAACAAGTCCTTCCACTAGACGAAGTTCTCTTTCAAGCACCGTAGAACCGAGCACTTATGGAACAAGGTAAGGAGTGATTCACAGTACCCTATTTTCTTTTGAATAACTTATTCTTCTACTATTCTTCGCTTTTCTAACTCTCCCGTTTTCTCACATCGATAACAAGACTGTACCAAATACACAGTTCTACTTTCGCCAATCACCTGATTCCACAAATAAAACATATGATTCTGATTTTATTGACGTTTCCCATTTGCTTTTGCAGACCATCTCATTTGGGTGATACCAAGCCGGCCTATGCATCGACAAGGTTTTGTTAGAAAATTTTGAGCAAAACAAGATCGTTTTGTTTTTCTGAAGTTTTGTCGCGAATTCTAACTTTGTTATTGTTTCGAGAACTAATTTAAATGAAACCATGTATTGTCTCTGGGTTATACAGCACCATATTTTGCAGCACAAGCATTTCGAGTGCAACGATTATTATATTTCATTTGTTTAGTTGGAATTCGGTTCGATGGAACAAACCGACTACTTCGGGATATCGTTCACACTCCGCTCGAATCAGAGATTCCTTTGAGGTAAAATAAAAAAACCAAACCTTCTTCTATCTTATTGACTTTCTACTACTCATTATTCTATAAAAGTCTATAAAAATAAGTCTATAGAAATAATTTCAGACCAAGCCCTCGTATAGTCTTTCAACGACAACGAGAGCTTCAAGTACACCAAAATACAACGCAAGCAATGCTGTCAAAGTCGCTCAAGATGTTGTTAGGTTCGAAATCTAACAAGGGAAAACGCACAGAGTCAAGCTGACCTTTTGACTTGCAACCAAGTCGATCTTTTAGAGTCGGTCATGGGGATCTCCAGTCGGTTATTAGTCTTTGCAGAACGCTTCGTAAACGTAGAAAATCACCTTAATTTCGAGCTCCTTATGAGGCCGTCACACGCTTTCCTAACAATTGCTTGGGTGGCCTAGTGGATAGTCTGCTAGACTACATTGAATTGTTGACTCAGGTTTTATACACCGCCTTTTGTAACTTCAACAAATAATTTACAAAAGCTGGAATCTTCCAAATATTAGAATCAGAAATAATTGTCGAAAAATTTAACATTTTTTTGCCACATTTCTGAAAGCTACAGGTGCATAAAATCCAACTCTATTATTCATTATAAAAACTTAGGGAAACCGTTTTTTAAAAAAGCAAAAGGTTTGGCGAGACCCAAACTTGAGGACAAAAATGTAACATGTTCGGTAGTCTGGCAGACTATCCACTAGACCACCGAAGCAGTTGGGAAGAGAGCGTGTGACGTCTTCTTAAGGAATCCGAAATTTAGATATCTCGCGTTTGCGAAGCGTTCTGTAAAAACTAAAAACAGATTCGAGATCTCCATGACCGTCTCTATAAGATGGACTTGGTCTCGAGGTAAAAGGCCAGCTTGACACGGTGCCTTTCCCTTGTAAGCAATTAAATTAGAATTTAGCAAGAAATTCGAACTATAATGCTGCAAATAATTGAAGTTCTTCTGTAGACTACCCAAAATAATTTTCAGTCTCGGCCCGCCTGTCTCCCAAAGAGCCTCCAGATTCGATTCTTCAAGTAAACGCTTTCAATGATCTGTTCAAAAGAGCTTACCTTTTGGATCATTAAGCTAATCAACTTCTTTTTTGAACTAATATAGTATTACCTAAACATTTATCAGTAGCATTAGCATTTTTCGAGAATTTTCGGCAACTTTCATCGAAACTTTGTTTTAGCACAAGAGAAATATCGAGAAGAAGCAAGGGAATTACTTGAAAAGTATACGAGTCGAGACAGAACTGGACCTGGTACATTGAATTAGCAAGAATATGTTACAATTTCATGTCTTTAAAACTTAAACAATCTCCTTTTCTGTTTCTTATTTGTCACTATCGACTAATTTAGCTCTTTCTTCAATGAAAAGTGGATATTACTCTCGACACTTTGAACCGAAAAAATTGGGAGGTTTGATAGAAAGGAAAAATTGTCGACAAATTTCCATATAGAAACATCAACAAGACTCAGTTCGGGGACAGTGTTCACTACGCCCACTCCGAGGGCTTCCTCAGGTGGGTGCCAACTACTATCAATATCTTAACTATGGTATTGGGAAATTCCGGATGCTCGTTGGTCAAAGCTCCTAATGATACGTTGGGGGCAATAATATTAAATACTTCTAGCCTACCGATCATCGGTGACCCCCACAAAGTCATTTGATCTACCATTCAACTATTCATCGACTTCAAGGTATTCAGTTGATCGAACTCCCACTTTATCTTCCTACACTCCGATCGTTTCAACACCGTATGAACGATTGATAAATAAGATAGTGAACGTGTTTTTAGAAAAGAAAGACCATGGCGAACGAGGTTAGCAGAGGCGGCGCGGTTGAGAGCAACTGTGGGAGATGAGGCATCGGCTTCTTATACAGCGGCTCGAGCATCTCGAAGGGGATCTTTGACACAAGTTTGTAGATAAATTTTATTGCAGAAAATTAGATCACAACAATAAAACTCTACTTATAACTTACAGAAAATTCACATTTACGCAATTCACATTATCAAAAAGTTTTCAGGCGAGTGGCGATGAGTCATTGACGAGAGAGTTGAGTACTCTGAAGAACACCGTTGCCTCGGCTTCTAGACCGGTAATTAGAATGATATTTACAGGGTGACAAACAATTATAGAAAACAAACACCTGACAAATAATGCAATTTTAGACCGTGACGGAAGTTTAAAAAGTAGCTAAGTATTTGTAGTTTTTAAAAAAAGAATTCGTAAACAAGATTCTTTTTTGCAAAATCTTTTGTAATCATGAAAGAATGAACCCTAATGTTAAATTTAAGCTTCTTGGTTGTATCCTTCAGCTATTCAAAATGAAAATGTTCAAGATGAAACGTGGACTGACCGGCGGCGCGGTGACCTTTTTTTTGAAAGTTACGAGAATGAGTAGAACTAAAAAACTAGAAGAGATTTCGAAAAACGGTTCTTATTTTTAAAAACTACAAATACTTAGCTACTTGCTAAACATAAAACTTTTTAAACTTCCGGCACGGTCTAAAATTATATTATTTATCAGGTGCGCCCATAATTGTTTTTCATCCTGTATTCCACAGCTTTTTTATCTTAAACTTTAAGAGTATCTAGATAAACGAACATTCCAAAGTTTTCTTTGGAATGGTAAATTCGAAGCTAAAAAGACAGAGAAAGCTTTTCTAAATTTTGTTTTCTGATGATTACTTATTAGAGTATACTACCTAGGATTCAACAAAAACTCATTGCGTGGATGAGAATAAACGAGTTGTGCAAATTGTTTCTTCGGGTAGCGTACCACCGGTAAACGAATGCACAAAGAATGCATGAATAGATTTTGTCTTACAATTAGAATCCTTCAAAATACTTTATCATACGAACCAAAGCATGAATCTTTTGCAAGCGTTTTCTTTCAACTACAACTGTTATACGATCAATATAAAATGAGCAAACCTCCTTTCAGAAATTCATCTTCCATGCGCGGCCCCGAGTCGCGGTTTGTTTTCTTTGTTTGTAGAAATCTAGCTATAGAAATATGATTGTTTTTGTTCGTTCACCAGCTGTTCGTGACTTTCCATGGATGATTGTGTAAATTGTTATGTGTAAAGATTCAACAATTTGTTTGAAATAGGCGATTTAGCTTAACCAAAGATTCATTTATCAAATCAAAAATTACCTAGATAGCAAACTGAATTCTAGAGTTCAGATAACGAAGTAACTAAATGAAACTCGAAAGCTTTAAGAAAGAAAGAATCTATGAACATTTCTCCCTTATAGCATAGTGCACGTGTGCCGGTAAAATGCAAAGAGTCACAAAATGGTATCCCCTTTCAGTACCGTCATTCATCTCGACAGTCTTCTGCTGATAGCAGTTATGGTGGCGGAATTTCGAGGTGATATGCTAGTTTTTATTAATTTTTTACAATTTCAGATATTCTACCCCAGCTTCTTCAATTCTTGATCGATATCCATCTGTTACACGAACTGGGGCCCTTTTTAGCACTTCCACGCCAAAGCCTTATATGTCAAGGTAGAAAAAGTGGCATGGCTTTCTCATGAAAATTTTGTAGTTATGCATCAAAAGCCAACTGAATTTTCAGAAGTTTTTCTCCTGTGAGATCTCCGGTGAATCCTTTCCAAAACAACTCCACTTCTAGACTCAATTCAACTCGGTGATTTGAAAATTTTCTTATAAATTGAGTCATCAGCAGCTCAAGTACAACCAAACAATAACTCTATATCATATTAAATTTAGATCACTGAGTCCATCTTCAAAGGAGTCTCTGAAAAAAATGTCATCTAGTGAAAAGTAGGTGAAAACTTTTAAAAAACGAATTGCTTTACAAAACAAAATCTTTAGGACAACAATCTCCACGGCTCCAACTACATCACCGATTCAGGAGGGAAATGAGAAAGAAAATGAGAATAGAGACAGAAAAACACAAGCGAGAAGCAGTAGTAAAGCAAGGGGTCTGTTATTTGACTTCAGTTTATATGTTGTATCCGATTTGGATTGAGCTCAACGTGGATATCCGATTTGGCTTCCAATCCAAATCGGATACAACATAAACATATTGGTGCTGAGGAAACAAACCACCAATTTTGCAAAGTACTACTAAAGGCATATAATGGTGTGTTTCAGCAGCAAGGCGAGCGTCAAGACAACGAGAAGTGGAGAAAAGTTCGAGTTCCGAGGGAGAAGATTGCGAGAACCGCTCACTCAGTCGACATAGAAGAAGGCTAAAAAAGAAAACATCAAAAGACAATGATGGTGAGTTGCTTTCAAGGTAGGATGTATAAAATATTGTTCAAGCTTTCTTGTCATGATTTCCAACTCTTTGTAAAAATGATTCATCGATTTTCCCAAATATCTATACAATGTGGATGCAACCACATGTCATTCATCCAGTCGATCGTCCAACCAAGTCATAAAAGCTCTCAAAAGAAACGTTTTTCTCTCCCTTGCTTTTTTTGATTTTTGAGACCTCGGCTCATAGACATTGGTTTATTTCTGTATCGTCACTAAGAATCTTTTCCTAGATTGTATATTTATTTGTAGGTTTGTGCATAAATATAAAGCTTGAGGATCTTAGCATAAAGAGCTTAAAGATCATAACCCGACTAATTGATCATTGTAAATTTCTTGATCTTTTTTCCAACTTGAGTTTTTCCTTGATTTGTAATCGTTCAACAAAAAGTAAACACCATAAAAGAGAAAAAGTGAAAGGTTTGAAATATTTGAAGTATTTTAAAATTTCAGCATCAGCTCCTCGGCTCCCAGGAACAGAAGATGTACTTGATTCGGGAAAACCAGAAATGGTGAGTTAAACAGCTTTTCAATGGCATCTACTTTTGAGAGAAAAGTTTGTAGTTTTACTTTTATTGATTTTTTTCATTTTCTGCATGTAATGTATTCTTTATATATTTTATATATGTATCTGATGTTTCTATAAACAACAAAAGTTGGAACTATTCATTCATTTTAACACATTCACGACGATACATCTGACCGGTGGGCCGTACTAATGGCAAATATTTTTGGTGTCAGCTCAAGTTTTTAAAGATTTTTGTTATTTATTTTGTAGAAAATTCTCGAAAACTTTGTACTAGTTTTCAAGAGGAGATTTAGGGCTTTCGAATGACTATAATAGCTTAGTTCATCCTTGAATCTTCACCAAATTATCAGTAAAACAGTTGATGACTGCGCGACTGTACGCTCAAAATACCGTCGTCGCGAATGTGTTAAGTAATGAGTCTTTACAGTCAAAGTTTCGACAAATGTATGTCAACTCGGAGATTATTTTCGCTGATCCTGATGATCTTCTCTGATTTCTTTGTATTTCTTTGTATACCAACATTTTGATGGTCTTTGTTCTCGTAAAATTGACGTTTTCTCCACAAATGAACAGCTGTTTTCGAGGATTAGAAGAGAAAAGAAAAAGAAAAGGCCCTTGAGTGTTTCGATTGAAAAGATTTGTGCGAAAAGTCGGGTCACCCACTATTAAGACTTCGAAATAGCATTTCTTTATTTTCGCTTGGCTTTTATTACTTTTTAAATCTATTTATTTTTAGGCTTGATCACGTAATTTAGAAAAGATTTTTAAAAGCTCAAAGTTGTCAGGAAACTTGAATGTAAATGTTGAAAAATTTCATAAGACTTTGCCGGTCAATTCAATTGAAATAGCTAGATTTCTTTTGGCTTTGAAAAAGAAAAATCTTCTCTTTATTGTCATTAAAATTCAATTCAACTTATTGTTGACTGACAACTCTTTCGCCTCACAGTTAGGTGTCAACCCCTAGGTGAAAAAAGATTTCGCCTTCCTTTGTTTTTCAACCTAAACCTGGCAAACGCTTTACCCTTTGCGATTTCTTTTATCTCCTTCAAAAGAAGAATGATCAACTGATGGCCCGAAAAAAAAAGAAAAATAAAGGGACAAAAGTAGAGAAAGTGAAGTGAGTGTAAAGCTGAATTGCTCTCTTTTCGTTTTTAAGAGAAAAGCCCCAAAGGTCTTTGAGGTTTCCGTGATCTTTCCTGTATTTCTCTTTTTCTGAGATAACCTTTTTAGAAAGCTTTCTCCCAATATTTCTCTTTTCTACGCATTTCTTTTGATCTGTGGGAGTTTGTTGCTCCTAGATAACTTCCAATCCTTTGTGGGCTGAAAGAATGAGCAAAACTCTTGTTTTTCATTATCACCTTCCTAGTTAGCTTTAAATTGGATGCGAAGTATAAGTTGAACTTGACAAGCTTGAAAAACTTACTACTTTGCCATTCATAGCTATTTCTGTTAAAAAGTCAGTTATGAGAATAGCGTTCAATTGATTCTTTTCTTCTCCTTTTAGTCGACCATCTTAAAACTTCTGCATTTGTTGTGAATAAAAGAGTGCTCAGCTCATTATATACTTTCTACTTGCTGCTTTCTGAATAGAACAACCATTTTTCTTCATATTTCTTTGATTCAGTTTCCCAATCGATCGAGCATCTTTTGATTCTTTCGGCGAGGGCCCCTCGCGGGCCTTCCCATTGCCATCCTCTACAAACACGCCTCATCTGTTGCATCGAACATCAAAAATGCACCCATCGACCGCAATTCATCATCTATCTTTACCTTCGACTACTCATCAACCAAAACCAATTGAAGTTCCTCTCGTTCAGCCGGGCCGCGTGCGACTTGTGATGCGAAATGGGTATATTTCTCGACTTCTCGGTGCTGGTGAGCCTACCTTTGAGCAATTTGAATCGGATTCTGGATCCGATTCAGAAAATGAAACTTCAACGAAGCAAAGACGTTCCACACCAAAAGTTACTGAGAGAGATAAATCAGCTCGAGCACTTTATGCCATTAAACCAACATCCGCAGTGCCAACATATCAAACATTTCGACCAAGAATATTTCGAACGAGATTCATTGGACCAAAGTCGGGCGATCCAATGATCAATCAAGCTAGATATGAAGAATTTGCGAGTGGAGTCAAAGCTCCTTTTGCACTATTACGAAATTCAGCGCAAATTGCCTCAACACCCACACCATTCCGCACAACAGCCACACCGGGACACAGCTTTTCGAGAAGTATCCCACTAAAAGCAGTATCCGATGTCTCTAGACCAACAATCAGTACATATTCCGGCCCAAAAGTTGTGAAACACACAGAAATCATCAATCAGGTTTATCAGAAACCCCTGAGACCTTCAAAATCAGGTGCTTTGATCTCAAAAATTAAGTCGACTTTAGAATTCCGCGCCTCCGGAAACCAAATAAAAGGTGTCAACATTGGGGTTCAACCTCAAAGCCCTTCTGAAAACGATGAGACAAAGCCACAGATTGCAAAAGCTGAATCAAAACCGTCAAAAATTTCTAATTTCTTTCACAAAATGTTGCGCAAGACTCCAAAAACAGAGACAAAAGATGAGAAATTATCAGCTTTAAAAGCACCAGTGCATTGTCAAGCCGCTGATGAGCGAGTCATTCATGGGTTCACTGTGCAAAAACCAACAGTTGTTGCTGAATTGGATTCTAAAATTCAAAAGCTTCCGAGATCACCTAACGATTCACCCCGACTAAGAAAGAAATCGTCAGTGAAGTCGGTAAAATCAATAACTTCGACGAGTCAAAAGCCCACTGACCCATCGAGTCCAAATGCAACGCCAGGAATGAAAGTGAGAAAGCTTTTGCAAAAGTCAATAAGTAAAGAAAGATTGGACCAGCCTATAAAAGAACGAGGAGAAACAAAGGAAGTTGAACCGAAGCCAGGATCACCGAAGACATTGGTTCAAGTGGAGAGAAAAGACAATGGTCGATTTGTACTTCCAGAACTAAAAAGAGTTACCTCACCAATTCTGAAACCAAAGAAACCAGAGAAACCAGAGAGCCCACCAAATTGCCCATACAATGCAGAAAAGGTGCTTGTTCGTAAACAGGCTCTTCATGTAAAAGAAGCAATTGAAAAAGCGCCTTTAGCCAATATGGATGAGATTAGTGAGTCAAGTGAAAAGACAAAATCGCCGGAAAGACCATTGGGTATTGTGAGGCCATTTTCGAGAACTGGAAATCCTAATGATAGAAATATTCCTATCGGGCCAATGCCTAACGACGTGATTCAACGGGTTGCTAGACCAGCCACAGCTACATTAGGTGAGCCACAAAATGAGAATAGGACTCCGTCACGAGAAGAGCCAACAAGATCTACTCCGGGCTCTAGACAGCTAAACAACCATTCTACGCTACAGAATGTCAAAGACTCGCCTATGCGAACATCTGAAACACTAAAAGTCTCCGAAGCTGATCAGCTGGAGCGACTGCAAGAATTAGAAGCTCAGCTCAGAGAACACAAAAACCGTTTAGATGAATTAGCTCATCAACCCTTTCTTCCACAAGCTCAACCAGCAATTGTTGTTGAGAAAAGAGTAATGGTTCGATATGACGATAATCTCGTTAGAAAGCCTTCGAACAAAGCCAAGAAAGCTGGCTTAAAAGTTCCTCCAAAACCTCCAAAGAAAGAGATTCCCGATCAACCACAGCCCTGGATTGTTCAACCATCACCATTGAACGTTGATGCTTATATGCAAAAAGCAAATGAACAATGTTCAAGATGGAATGGACAAATAGTGATCAGCCCTCATTCAGCTGCTTCACTTGCCGCTTCCTCTACAGGCCGGCCTTTATCACCAACTTCACCATCGAATTTGATTACATTAGAGGAAAGAGTTTTATCTCCACCACTTAATAAAACATTGCTGAGAAAACAAATGCCAAAATCACCAAGGGATCTCTTAAATCCGCTTCCAAAAGCCGAAAAACCGATTCCATTGTGGAGAGCACAAAATGCGGCCCGCTTCGGCAAAGAATCGGTAAAGCTTTAGTTACGATGGATAAATAAGCAATAAATGATATCTAAAAGCCAAGAAAGTAGATGCCAAAATTAGGGAATTTTTTGATACATCAAGAATTTAGACATGAATTTTTAGACAAAAAGCCTTATCTCTCGATCAACACCAAAAGATGATCTGCTGATTTCAGAAATGGCTAAAAGGTTTGATAGTATCGAAAAGATTAAGGTTACTCTATGAAGTTTTAGAATATATACTGGCGCCATGCATATTAGCATGTTTTAACCATAATTTCTGAAAAAAATTTATATTCAAATGAAAAACGAAATCAATTTAGCGCTCCTCCAGCAACTCTGCTTTTGGAAGAGAATAAAGGTGACTTTTGAGAAATTTTTAGCGATTGTATAGCTAATTTAGCTAAAGTTTTAGGGGGAACTGGGGAGGAATCAGCCGTTTCATTCCACACACCACCACCTGAACCAACAATTACAGGTAAAGACAAGGATCAGTAAATAAAAAAAAGAAATTTCTATTTTGATGGCAGATAATGTTTTATAAATAGTGTTGTACAGATTTGATTTGGATAAAATCGCACAAAGCTAGTTTATTTTGAAAACCTTTGATTTTAGTGGCACCACCAACTCCCATTATGAAGAAAAAAACTTTGGAAGTGGACACAATGACAGCAACAAAAAAATCATTAAAGGTATGCAGAAAAAATGAATCGGAAAGCTTTTGAAGTCGTTTAAAAATTATTTAAAACAACATTATTTCTTTTTAGACTATGAAAGACATCAAACTTGCCTCTCCATCGGTGAGTTCCTAACTATGCTATTGGTATAAACTCCTAAAATCTGCTCTAACATATTAACAATATAGTATGTAAGATAACAATTAAAATACTTCCTAACTGCACCAAAAGCCTCTAAACTTTCCCACACTCTCGCTCTGTCACTTTTTTCATTTTTTTAGTGTATCCCATGGGACTCATCGTTCGAATTGGCTGAAGTCGGTTTTTTTTCTTGAAAATCTCTCTACTAATCATTTAGTGTTTAAAACAATTTTTGTTTATTCTGCAAGATAGGCATTAAGAAACCAACTTCTCTACGAGTTTTACTACTGTTTTTCAGGCATACTCAGACGCGAGCGTGATGGACGATGAATCACAGTATTCGGCGATCACACATTTTGTTCCAAAGGTTAAAATGTCGAGCCAAATAAAAAACACAGTTGTCATCTACTTTTCAAACTTTGGCTAGGATTTTATATCCAAAAAAAGATCTTTTTACGTTTACAAATAAAGTTTCCAGAAAATCAAAAAGCCTCCAGTGCCGGGAATGTGGCTGAAAGATGGAGTCGAATTGATTAGCAAGAACAAGCGTTTCAAAAGGTTCAGACTGAAATGAAATTAAAACGTTTTCCATTTAAAATCTTAGAGAAGAAGAGAGCCATGCAACAGTTTCCACATGGAAAATACGGCAAAGTGACAAAATTTCGAAAGATCTCAAGGCAACACCACTGAAAAAGCTCTCTAAACCAGGAACTCCAACAACGGAAAAGAAGAAAATGGTATGGAAAATGAACGTAGACAAATATTAGGGTCAACCAGCTATACAGCGAATGTCAAAGCGAATCAAGTGGCTCAATCTAATCTAATACTTAAATGTAGGTGATGAAAAAGAAGTTAATCACCGACATCAACGCAAAAGATGTGGAGAGGGCAATGAAAGAACGGGAGATTTCACCGCTTGGACGAAAAAAAGACGAAAAGGTGAATCGTTGAAATATTGAAGCAAAAAATAACAAATCAATAAATCAAAAATTGGCTTCAGAGGAAATATAATGTTTTTCAGCCTATCATCCCAGTAGAAGTGAGTGTTTCGACAATTCTCCAAAATCGACTCGCAGCTAAACAAGCAACCGCAAAGAAGTTACTTTATAATGAAAGGTTTGTATATAGGCTACAGTGTACTTATTATGTTGAATTTTCTTTCTTCATACTACTTCTTTTCTACCTTCCACTTTCTTTCAAGACTCTTTTCTTTATTTCTGACTTGTTGCCTTTCAACTAACGCTGACAACTTTTTTGTTGGTTTATTCGAGTATTGTATTACATTTCACACTTCATGGAATGAAGAAAGGCTGTAGCTTTCATTCAACTTATTGATCGATAGATTGGTTCAGAATCGTTTCGCACCTTCTCAAATATAAGAGTCTCCGTTTCGATTTCTCTTTTTTTTTCTTTCTTTTCTCGTTTGGTATGCAAATTTTGAGATGGACCACAGTCAACAAAGAGGACCTTTTGTTTCTTCGCAAAGAAAAAGAAGATTCTTTTTCTACTTTTATTCGAAACCCTTTAGTTTCATTGTTTGAAAGTTTCATCATTAGAGAACAATACAATTTGGTCTTAGCTTATAAGTTTCACTAGTTTCACTAATTTTCACTAGTTTCTAGGCTGCTACACGTAAAATCTAGTCCAAATCAAAATTGAGGTCAAATGTAAGTTTCAGAATCTCCTTGAGCAATCAGAAGCCATTGAAAGCTCGACGCAAACCGATCCCGTTAGCATTGGCGGTGATTGATAAAGATTTTCACAGGAAACGAATGGACTTCCGTGTGCAAAAAGCTTTGAAGGAGTTTGGGTAAGCGAAAACTTAAACAGAAAAGCGACCAAACTTTTCTAGCATATTATCTGCATCATCCAGCACTTTTTAATTCTTGGATACAACAAAGATCTAATGACAAAACTTACTTTTAAGAACTTATGTGTTAAGTGATTGTGAGGGAACAGTTGTTCCTCCCCCAACCACCCACATGAAACTTTTTTCTCACTTCACTTTTTGTCACCCTGATCATCTAAGAATCTTTTCGAAAATTCTATTAGGTTGTCCAGAAAGTCTTTTCGTTTCTTTTCGTACTTTTTTTAAAATAGCTATTTGGAGCATAGATTAATTAGTTAATTTATTATTTTTCAACGGAAGTATGAAAAGAAACGAAAAGACTATCTGGACGGCTTAATATAGAGATTGCCTATATCAATATCATATAGATATTATACTTACTAATTACTATTCTTTGCTTTAAATATAAAGATACTAATTTAGAAACAGTATCTCATTTGATATGGTTATCAAAAACAAAAGTGACAAAAGATTGGTGACAAAAGTTTAAAATGATGACATTCTCTCGTTATCATTGCTTTTCTACCTTTATAAATTCTTACAAAAAAGCGTTCTGAAACGCCCTGTGTTCTTTAGTAATACAAAGCACTTAAATGGAAGGATTGTTAGACTAAAAATTCAAGTACCTATTGCAAATACCAAAACCAAATATGTTTACTACTTTTAGAAAACAACAAGAAAAACACTCGTTGAAATGCAAAGCCGCCACAAGCAAGACGACAAGAATCGAGCAAAATTTGAGTCGTAATCAAGCCTCTGGAGGTGCAAAGGTGGCTAAAATATCTATGATTAAGTAAAAATTAACTATATTACAATTTTAGACAGCTCACATTTCACTTTGATTTTTAGGTTATTGTGGTAAGTGCACCAATCGATCATGTGAATATTTCGAGAATCAAACACAAATGCAAGACGAGCCGTGTGAAAAAAGAAAGGAACTCAATGTAAGCAATTGGAAAAAATTGTGCTAGTAACTTGGTGCAAGCACATATTTAGGCCATGTTACACAAGTTTGGAGCATTCAACGAGTGGATTTGAAGAGGAAAAAGAACGAATTCAAGCCATTCAAGCAAATAATGGAGCACACAGTGACACGGTGAGTAGTTAACGAATATTTTTTGGTCCTTTTTCCGACCTACCAAAAGAAAAAATCTTCATATACCGTATTTTTTCTAATAGTATGACATGCCCAGAGGAGCGTCGCGTAGTCGTTGTTTTTTCCGTACTAAACCATTTTTTTCTCGGGAACCTTTGTTTGAATTTTTTCTAAAAAATAGCTACCTCATTTCTCTATCTTTTGGAAAAACGCCGAACGGAATCGGTCCAGAGGTTCGCGAGAAAAGATTATTATAAAAAACAACGACTACGCAATGTTCCTCTGGACATGTCACTTGAATCACTTCATACTATTAGGAAAAATACGGTCACTTGAATCAAAATGACTGCCTGAATTGCCTAAAAGATTAGCTAACAATTAAGGAGTACGATAATGAGGAGGATGGTCGGTTGAAAAGAGAAAGCTCTGTCGCTGCAGTGATTCTCGATGAAATGAGGGGAAAAGATTCAACTGTTGATTGGAGCAATAAAACGGTCAAGCTTCTGTCTATTAAAAATTTTTATTTAAGTAAAATATTTCAGCTTTCCTTGAATTCCCATCAAATCATCGGGTACTCACGGGTCAAAGTAGTCTAATTTTTCTCTCATTCAGCTTTCATATGAAAAGGCTCGCTTATAAAAGAATTATATATTAGGTTGTCCGGAAATAAATGAGGGTTTTCAACTTGAATATTTAAAATACCATAACTTTTGCACTGTTGATTTGCCGACACTGCCTGGGCCCCAAACTTCGTTAATGTTACGAGCCGTTTCAGCTGCATTGCGACCGAGTTTGAACTCATAAAAGAAAATCTGGCAAAAGTTGGTTTCGGACATCTAAAATGGCGAAGCTTAAAATTCGCAAAAAATTTTATTTTCAACAAAATTTAAAGGCATGGTTAAAGAGAGCGCGAACTAAGTTTTCCAATCGTATATAACATTACAAGGTACAGAGGTTACTTTATTGAGAAAAACGTACCCAAATAATAAACAATACAAAACGCTCATTTATTTCCGGACAACCTAATAGAATGAGAAAACAGGTTTTGCTCCAGAAATAGATATTTTGTTATTTTATTTAATGCTGCTGTTTATTCTTGCAATTCTTTTAAGAAAAATGTTAGTTGTAAAAACAATTTTCCTGGCAATGAGTCATCAAAAAAGTTTAGTAATCTTTACTAACAAGTTCTCAGCTGATGCGTTCCAACCAAGTTTCGATTAACATTTTGCTGATGATTTACAAAAATTCTTGTTCAATTATTTCCGTTCCCTTCTTTTTTCTTTTGCATAGTTAGCAAAGAGTTCTTTGCCCTCACTCGATCGTCTTTTCAAGGGCTTCCCATTTTACACATCTTTCCTTTCCCTCTCTTATTCTTGTAGATGAGACTCGACCTGATCTCCCCTCTTTGCTTTCAACCAAGAGTCACCTTAAAGTCCATTTCCTCAATTTCGACTGATCCGCTATTAACTTTATTGGTAAATTACGTTGAGATCCAGTTTACTTTTTACATTTTAAAAAATCCCATTTTTCTGCTTTCTAATTTATTAACGCTAACGCTCGGGAAAAAAATTAGGCGCACTTTACATTTCTGATCAAATCTTATTGGAGGTTTGCTTCTCTGAATCTGAATCTGCATACAAAGTTAAAGTTAACCCAGTAATTGGCATTATTTGCTATGTAATTTACTATTTGTTTTTATATTTTAAATGTTTCAGGGTGGGCCGTCGATTTTCCTCAACAACGGTCAAGAGCCTTTGATCCTACCCGATCAATCAATTCTTGAAGAGTACGTGAAAAGGTTGGTTTCCTCTGGCTTAACTACAATTCAGACCTTTTATAGCAATGAGTCAAGCAACTTTTTTGGTGTGTATAATTAACCCTAGAAAGGATACAATTCTGACCGCACGCTTACTCTTATTTTGTTGTTCTGCGAAAATCTTTGGTCACTAGTAGTAACGGGGAAAAACAAACTTTGTATTCGAGTCAGGCCAACTTCAAAGTTTGGCTTTTGAAAATAGATCGAATTTCCCTTTGGATTCCCTATCTCTGACCATCTGTTATCATCGCTTAGCTCGCTGTTTTTTCTTATTTCCAAGGACTCAAGTAGAACAAGCGGCATTTTTACAGGATGTCTCTCGTTGGATCTTTTTCTTGTGACCAAGTCTTTTTTGTTGTGAGTCCTTTGGGGCATGAGCTACAGCCATCCATTCATCTCTATCTTTTAAAGAGAGGAAATTTCCTCTTCAGCCTCAAACGTCGCAGAAAGACTTGTACAAATACTGAACACTTATTGATTGCCACAGGTTTATGAAGATATTCTGGGCATGATTTTATTGCGATTGCACTAGAGTTATTGATTTAGTGACCAGTTATCACTATCTTATTCCTTATCAAATTTTACTCTCTGACGATTCAAAGAATGGAAGTTTTGGATTCAATAACATTATGCTTTAAACTGCCACCAAAGCCAGGCCCCAAGAGTAGACGACGAGCAAAGACACCTGGCCCAGAGAGGTACAATAAAACTTGCACCTAAAATTGAGATCTATTTTGGTGCTTTATCAGATGTTTAAAAGCTGTTTGGGGTGAAAATCTCCAATCTTCAAAACTCTATGTGCATTTTCTTCAGAATTTGTGTCAAAGAAATCTTCAAAAAGAAATCAAAAAATTTTGAAGACCCATAATGTGTAAAAATTTAGTTCATTTTAGCAAAGTTGCAAAACTTGAGGCCACGATAAAATCTAATTTTGATCCACTAATCCTTAATCAATAAGTCACCTTATCGATTGTCCAAAGGCTTTAAAAAGTTGGAGAAAAACTTAAGAAAATGGAAGTGAGAAGAACAGTTGCCCTTTTCTCTTTTCTTTTTTTTCGATTTACCTTTAACCGAGCCACTCACCTTCTTAGAATCCACAATAAGCTCTTGTTCTAAAGCTTGCACATTCTCAACTTTTGACTCAGCGCTTTTTAAAGAAACATTGTTTGTATGCTTTATATTTTTATGTTTCTTTGCTACTCAAAATTATTGCTTTGGGTTGCTTGGCGGTGCATGAATAGGTGAGTAAGATTGGAAAAGAATAGATAATTCTCATTTACGATTAACCTTTAATTTTAAAAAGTTCTTCATGGATATTAAATGTAATAGATATGTATCACAAATCATAAATAGATGATAAGTGTTTCAAGTGTAGGCTACACGTGAAATCAAAAATCAATCTACATATTGTAGGAAACGAGGTCGTCTTGAGAGGCTACACTCTGAGCCTATTCCGGAAACCGACGAGAATCGGTGAGTGTTTCAAAATCAAATAGGTATATATGTTACGTCCGAATCTGTCCTTTGGATCGAATCCGATGCAAGCTGTATTTAAATTGATGCAAATATGCAATATTGTACATAGTACTGATCCGTAGTACTGTTTATTCTATAAGAATCTATTTCTATCTAGATATTTTTATGACTTTATAACAAAAAGTATTTATCGATTTGCTCCAATATCCTGTAGAGTACGGACCAGTACTATGTACAGTACTACGGGCCAATACTATAGAATTAGCATGTTTGCATCAATTTAAATACAGCTTGCATCGGATTCGATCCAAAGAACAGATCTAAACCAGGTTCGGACGTGAAATTTATTTCTAGAACAATAGATTTTATTTGTTTTGTTTATTTCTTTATGAAAGTTCAACAGGACTACTGGTGGATATGCCTTATTATTAGTTTTAGCTTCGAGTGTGATTCCCCATGCAACTCGACCGCTTCGGAGTTCATTCCCGCATCTGCTGGTCGGTTTTTGTTCTGTATGGCGATTTGTAGCTTGTGTAAATTAATATTAAATTTTTGAAAAACCATGGTTATTTTCCTGCCCAATTTAAACTTCATGTATTATATTTTATTTTCAGTCCGAGTGCATGAGCCATCATCACGTGGAGTGCCCGTCATCACTACCGCTCCACAAAAATCGAGGTGAGCACAAATAAAATGTTATTGATTGTATAGAAAACAAAATTTTAGCATTTTAGCAGTGATAGTATTTTTAGCTTTCCAATTCATCGTTCAATAAAAATTAAGATCTCGTATGAGTAGCGGTGAGCCACAAACACCAACGGCCATGCTTGAAACTCAACAACCAATGAATAATTTCAATTCTACTCCACAAGCTTTCTTAAGGTGAGTTATCCAATTGTTAGTTGAATCGCTTTTCTCAGCCATTTTAAGTTTTAGTAAAAAGTTGTGCGGGAACTTTTGGATCACCCGTATTACTCTAATATTTCTGAATGTCATTTTACTATTTTTAAAACTTTTACAGGCGACAAGCTCCACGTGCAATTCTTTTTCAAGCTCCTCAATCATTTGATGTACCCAAGACACCCTTTGAGGTGAGAATAGAAACATTATTGAGCATGTTTTAACATCATTTCAGCAAATTTATCAATAGAACCTTTCAGTCAGCTCTTCAACAACAAGCAAACCAAATCGCTCGTCGTGCCTCAATCAACAGTCTCTCGACATATTCGGAACCCGGGGAGGTTAGATTTATTGAACTTTTAGCAATAAGATTCGGTTCAAGAAGAGAATTCGATTTACTTCGTTAGTTTACTGGCTATCTATATGAACAGGCCTTTTTGATAGAAATATTTCCGTGCAAACTTGCGAGTGAGAAGGAAAAAAGAACACGCAATGGGGCTCTCAAACGGTCTTTTCCAGAGACATCTCTCAATTTCCTTTTCCCCTTTTCCTTATCCCGAATTTGAGGCTTTTTGTTGTGGTGAGACTGGGAAAACAAGAAAAATCTTTCTCCTTTTCTTCTTTTCGAGGAATCTCAAAACTCGAATCAAGGCCAGTCACCACTATACGTAGCCCCATTTTGATCTCATTTTTGTCTATGTAAAAGCTACAAATTCAGCCAAATTTTATTTAACTTTAAACTTTAAATTTTGAATTTCAAATGGCTTTGACATTCCTACCAAGCAGATTCGGAAATATTCAGGTTTAACTTTTGAATTTTCAATTAGCTGCTAGATAGAAAATTTTCTACCGATTACGTAAGTATTCAGTGTCGATCCGAAGCCACCGCTCAGGGTCATCAACGACAAAATTCGCAAGATGGTTCAATTTCTTCTTCTTTCACAGCCGCTCTTGCCGCCAATCAGCCGACCCGACATGAAAGATATGCTGCACATATTCCCGTGAATCGGTAAGATTTCTTGCTTTTTCTTCTTACAGCTCGACAATTTTAATGTATTTTGATAAAATTCCTTTCAGAGGCGATGGGTCTGGTCGACAGAGTGTGAACAGTGTGGACAGTCAAGCAAGGTGAGCCATTTTAAGCCCGTTTTAATGTTATTTTGTAGAAAAATAATCGGCCTTTCTAATGAAACAAACCATAGGTTAATTGGTGAATTTGTTGGTTTTAAGCGGAAGTACGAAAAGAAACGAAAAGACCTTCTGGAAAGCCTAATATATGATGCAGAAAAGTAGTGAGCATCACGCGATAAACGCTAATCAACAAAAGTCCCACCTTGAGTGTTTATCAATGAGTGCATGGGGTTTCTGTAGGGAAAGAGGAATTTGGGGAATATATACACAGATAACTAACCATAAGCCATTGAACTTGGATAGTTTTAATTCGTGGATTGACTTGTATGCACAAGTTAACATGAGTTTTTTATGTTTACCAGCTAATATGTTCTATCTAAATCTTGAAAGACTAATCAAGAGGTGTCGGCTTTGAGGTTTTCGCGGAGAAAATGAGAAAATAGGAAGAGAAGAGAGATAAGGAAAGTGAGAAGAAACCAGACCGAAAAAATATCTAAAAGACAAGCAAAAACAGAAAAAATAGTTTAATGGTGAGAAAAGGCACGCGGTTTGAATTGGCCCTTTGATGCTTTGATGTGTCTCGGGAATCGGCTGACTGACCATCCCTCTTTTCTCCAAGTCGCCCTCTTCAATCCAATTCCTCGAACTCGAGCCGCAACACCTGACCCCTTACATATTGACGGCTTTGTAACGCGAAAGTTCGTACTAGATCCTTGCTTGGCTTTTTTTCTGTCATCCACCTACTAGTTCTTGCTGCTCTTCTTTCATTTCCATTCTGAATCACAACGAAGTCATCGAATGCTCCCTTAAAATGATTCACCATTTTCCCCACTCCGGATGCTGACCATTTTTGAGTTTTGCCTACTTTTCGCAATTTCTATTTTATTGCTACTTGGCGCTTTTCATTTGAGAGAAATGTATTATGCAACACGAATGTGCAACAGTTTACCGCGGTTTGTTTCTCTTGTAGACAGTAGTTCTCTAATGCCATTGATCGGCTTTGAAATACAGTGAAAACTTATATTAAGGACTTGGTATCCTTCAAAAAGTATGTTATCCGTTAATAAAATAGTAAAAAACCGAGAGATTAATTAATCCTTCTATTCTTTTTATTTAGCGGTGCATTGGAGACGGCGAGCAAACAGCTGGACCAAGTGATTGATCAAGTAAAAGAAAGATACGAAGCTTTAATGAATTCTTTAGGCTCGATACCGTCATCACCAACACCGATCTCGTTTCAAAGAAGCCATCGATTATTTGGATCAAATATTTGAGGATCTTAAAAGAGAATGTGATACTGGCGCTCAACAAGCGTCTGCTGTCAATGCTACGGTTTGGAAATCTTTATTAACAGTTACATTACTACATACATTACCCTTTATACTTCTAGCAAAAGTAACGGTGTTGCTGATTTGAACATATATTGTTAAGTACTGCAAAAAACTTACACAAACTTTTCTTTGTCTAGACCGATGAAACAAACAACGACCCTTCACAAATGGTTGAAATTCCCTCTGCTTCATCCGGTTCTCATACGACATCCAAAGAAGCGCTACTCAGGTAAGACTCAAAAATCAAAGCATGATCATCAATTTTCCAAAGCTAGCTTGATAATCACTAATCAAAAAAGTACCTTCATATATTTGCCCAAAATTCTCTACATAAACTCTATTAATTTACTAATATTTTTCGGGAATTCCTTGACTTTTTTAAGGCGTTAAGAAAAACCAACACAGTGCAGTGCATTGTGTTTTTGAAGGTCTGGAGGAAAAGAAATTGTGGCCAGATGTTAGGGAGTTCTTTGAGCCGACTAAAGGTCCTCAAATGTTTTCGGCCAAAAAATAAAGGAGAACTTTGAATGGGAAATCACCAAATAGCTTTTAGTATACTGGGCAAATTTAGTGAATAATGAAATGCGTTGGCACTTGTTGCTACTGGTTCCAAATAAACTTAATTACTGATGAAATCAATCTTAAGATGATTTTTTTGTTAGCTATAAAAGTTTTCCCATATCTATCCCAACAAAAACCTGGTTATCGAGTCCCACTTGGGGGTGTAAGAATGTGGGCTTGGTAGTCGTTTTTTCTTTTCTTTTGCAAGCTCTGCTCAGTCATTTACTGACTGAATCCTATCATTCTCTTTTTTGCGATCTCTCAGTTGTACAACGCGAGCAACAAGTGGCATTATTGGGCAAGTGCCTAGACAAATCTTCAAAAAATGACACACGCTAGTTGGCTATTCAAGAAACTTAATATTGCCAGAGTTGCTTCTTAGGTTTTCAAAAATTCCGATGTAATAGATGTTTTTCCACTTGATGTACTGGTTAAAGAACAAACTATACGCACGCTTACGCAAAGTGATTTTTATCACTCAAATCACGGGCCAAAACTAGGGGGAAAGAGAAGAGATGCCAATTGCTGGCCCTTTCTTTTTGGATGAAAAGATCTGTGCGAAACGATGAACTAAGCGGCTGTTTCTTCTCGTGAATCTTTTCCTTTTCAATCGAGAACCTCAAAAATCCCCTTGTCTCACTTTTCTTTTGTTGATCGAGTCTTTAAGTGACGCTCAATTCAACTCCTTTCTTCACCACTAAATATCCCGAGCGGATCTCATCGATCGAGCTCTTTTTTAGAGTTCAAAGAACCTTTTTATTTGAGTATTCAGCTAAATTGATCAAATTTACAAATTATTCCTTTTCATGGCTAAAATATCATTATTTTATTTCAAATGGTAGTAATAACTATCATTGGAAACGTGGCTCGTCCAAAAGAAAAGTAATATCTTGATTTCTTTCTGGAGACATTCAGACCAGATTTAACATTTAACCAAACTGAAAAGAAGCCAAATACGCTTCAGATTCATTTGGCGATGCAATAACATTCAAATTTAGACGTCCTCAGCCGGCTCCTGTTGTGGTCGATCCATCTCCATCTTCTTATGCAACTCAATCTCTACCAAATCGAAGCACTAAACATCGACCGCAAAAGGTATTTCATTTGACAAGCTTGAGACTTTAACTACCGTATTTTTTCCTAATAGTATGGCACCCCTCTGTGTTAAATTGAGGGGGCAGATATCCATTTTTCCAAAAAAATTTTTGGTAAGAATAGTACTAAATGTATATATGGGCTGTAGGTATATCACAAATGCCATGGCAGTAAAACTAACATTGTAAAACTAAGAGTAAAACTAACATCGAAAAATCATAAGGGGGACCACATGAATTCTCGAGAGTCGATTCTCTGAGGATCGGTCGGAAGAAAAACATTTTCGTTTTAAATGTGTTTTTCGTACGTTTAGAGCAAATTCAATCGAACTAGAGTGGTTTTAAAAAAAATCATTTTCATTTTGTGGTACCCCTTTACCATTTTTCGAGGGGTCCGAAAAAAGACATCGAAAAATAGAATGATATTTCATACTATTAGAAAAAATACAGTATCTTAGAGTGAAGTAGAGCTCTTATACATAGCGTAGTGGGTTACTGGTTCAATTTTTCATAATTGTTTTTTATTTTTCATGATAAAGTATCCATTGTTTAATGACTGACCAACGGGAAACAGGTAATTGGACCTCCCTGCAGGTGGAAACTCTCGGAAGAAATTTGAGTATCCATTTACTTTTTGTTTTTTCCAACTCGAACGGTTTATTGACTGGAGAATTACCCCTTCTCTTTTCTGAAAAACCACCTGACACTCTTCGAAAGAAGGCAAAGGATTGATTCTTCAAAGATTCTCCCGTGCCAGCCTCTTCTTATTGACTTGAACTCTAACAATTTTCAACACACTACACAAATTGATTTTTTAAAATCAAACACGCAATTTTATAAGGGTGTTTTCAGTGGGGATCAATCGACGATTCATTCGCATTCTCGCCTATTACTGTGATTCTTTTCTCTTTTCTAAAGCTTTGCCTGGCTTCTAGCATTTAGCTGATATTTAGAGCTACTAAAGCTTCTATCGTAAAAGTGTTAAATGATAGTCTCCCTAATTTTCAGCCACCATCGCCGATTGAAGGAGTGTCCAAGAAGACTGGAGCGAAACAACAGAAGAGCACCGATAGTGAGGTTGGGCTTATGATTAAAAACAGTGCTGTTAAGTAGAGTGTATATTAAAGACTCATTTCCAGAACATTAAAATTTTATTTAAAAATAAGATGCAAAAGAACAATCAAATTGCGTTTTCAGGTAGCCGAAACAATTGTTCTACCAAAAAAGCCGGACAAACTGGATTTCACGAGGAAATGGCTTCACGACGACCTCTCGTCTTTTGGAATGAGCAGTCCAGCTCCTCTGGTAATCGGCCCAGAAATGGTAAGCAACACTCATAAATAAAAAAAGCAAGCAGAAATTTCCGTTTAAACTTGAAACCCTTTTTTTCTAGACTTTGTACACCGATGTCGATGAACATTCATTGGGAAGTTGCTCGGCTGAAGTGGCGGCGATCAACGAAAATACAAAAACAAAGAAGAAAGAAAAGAAAAGTTCTCAAAAGTTGGTTTCAATTTTAAGTGTATTTGGAACTATTCAACAACTGCTATATGTATACTGCATTGAATCATTTTCAGTAAAACGAAACCTCATGCAGACGTGAAGCCAGTAAAGCCTCAAGCTCTTCGACCACAGCCACAATATTCGACATCATCATCGGGGAATAATGGGTCAGTTTTTATATAGAAATACTTATTTTTTTAATTATGCGTTGCACTAGCTTCTTTTTGCTTCTTTAGTCCTCGTCAATTCCCAGTCGATTTCGAGCCAGCTCCTCCATTACCCAGAGTTGCCTCCTTTGATCACATGAGTGATAAAACTGAACAAAATGGATGGAGAAGTGGAAGTCAGGTAAAACTTCAACAAAAGGATAAATAGTGAAGATACTTTAGAATGATAAGGCACTTCTAGCAAGATCCTCATATTTTCAGGAGCCTTACAACAACTCACTCACTCTTCATCCAAATGATCCAAGACCAAGCCCATCAGCTTTCCAAAACGTCTCCCCGTCGGTGCAACGAAACTCTTTAAGAGGCAGTATCAGGTAGAAACAATGTCAAATATTTTGAAATTATGCCTTTTTCCTAGTATGAACTATAATTCATAACACACAACGATTGAATACAAAATATAAAAAGGAGATTATAGATCATTACCCGATGCTGGACGTATTCCTTCATTTCGTCCCACACCCGATCCACCACGTGATCCTGGATTGGCAATTGACGCCTTAGTGGCCGAATTAGAGTTGAATACCGAGGAGGTTAGGAGACACCATGCCCGGGTTTGTCTTGCCTCCATTCACACCCCATTTCTTTCGTTTCTATAACAACAAGTTTCCAGCTTTCATTGAATGCAAATAATCCTTACTATTAGTTTTTAAAAGGTTAATAAATATGCGTATTTGCTTTTAGTCCGCGTTGGCCGAGAAACGGCGATCGTTCCCGACGGCAATTGGTCGTTTAAACGAGTACGAGCAACCAAGAAACCGAATCAATCCACCAACACAACCAAGGAGGATCACTCAACCAATCAATTATAGTCATGGGTAGGAACAAAGAGACGCAGTGAACTGAAAAATAATAAGCACAAATAAAACTTTTAGAGAGTACAACAAATTGTTCCCTTTACAGCTACCAACAACCACCGGCCCCATCACAGCCAATCCTCCCGTCATCGACTTATTCGAACTCGAATCCGGTCGCAAGTCGAGCTCCCGTCATACAAAAACAACCAAACCTTGATGAAATGGCCTCAATGTTAGCAAGTGTGGCCAATGAATTCTCTTCAACTCAATCACCTGCACCAACCACTCAAAATAGGCAACATAATGGACGTCGAGCATCCGTTCCAAGACAGAACAGTGGTGGAAGTAAGTCAACACCAAACTATTAGGCTGTCCAGAAAGTCTTTTCGTTCCTTTTCGTACTTTCGTTGAAAAATAACAAATTTCACCAATTAACCTATGATTTTCTCTAAAGAGAAAGTGTTTATTGTTCAATTTCCCATTTTTTTAAGTCAATTTGGGTTCACTTTCAAGCAAATTCGAGCGTTTTTCGTAAAAATCTATAAAAACCTCTGCGAAGAAATTGGCTAAAACAATTTCTCCAAAATTTGGCTATATAACTAACTTTTTGTGCTCTATCTTTTATCTATTGACACCAAGACCAAGGTTTCCTTAGCTAAAATGTCTAAACCGCATCATCGAGTCCTTTTTGACCACCCGACTTCACGCTCCCAAAAAAAATCCAAATATAAGACATTTAAAACCCGTTTTAATGTTATTTTGCCGAAAAATAATTGGCCTTTCTAATGAGACAAACCGTAGTTCAATTGGTGCATTTGTTGGTTTTAAACGGAAATACGAAAAGGAACGAAAAGACTTTCTGGACAGACCAATAAAAGTAAAACGCTTGAATTTTATAATATTAGGTGTTTGCTTTGATTTGTTTCGAATAGCAATAACAACATTTAAAAACACTTTTCTAGATGAACCAAGCCTTTAGGTACATCCAATCAACAATCATTCATCTATGCAATTCCCCACATGCATGCTCCACCATTTGAGACCATAAATAAGGTTAGTGACGAGGAACTGTAAGGAATTCCGATGAAAATGATGCACATATTAATTAATTAGTATAGAAATAATGAGAAATTTCTAGGAACGAATCAATCCATCCCGGGTCGAGGCGATGCAAAACGTTTTTGAGACGCGGCCAAGTAGTGGGTTTTTATTAGCTGAAAAGAGTTGGTCAAATTCAAACTTGTCCAACTTCACTCGATAAGTTTACCTAGATTTTTCTATAAAAGAACTTTTTTAGAGACCTAGCCTATCTACGTGAAACAAATCCAATCACTCAGAGCACATTCCACAAAAATATTCTAAATCACAATTCACTCTACCCTAATCTACAATAATCGCAAAATTTGAGAAAAGGTTTTCATCTATTATCATAATGTTTAGGCTTTTTGTCATTTTCAGTTGCGCGCTTTAAAACGATTTAGTCAAAATAACGATTTGTGATCATTTTGAGTTAAAAGAACAAAAATAGAATTGGGCGGATTTCGGAAACAAAAGAAAATTTTGGAGAAGTAAAATTTACAAAGGTCATATTGATCAATCTATCAATGTTAACAAAACTTTTGAACTACTGACAAAAAGAAGCACTCCCAATTTTGTTTTTTTTTCTTTTAACTCAATCTCTGTGCTCGTCTTCTTTATTTGTTTCATTCATTTAGATTTCTGTAGGAGTTTATTTATCGAACAATATTAGTTGTTTGATGTCTAAAAATTTTAGGTGGTACCGAATGGCGACGAGGACCCCAACCATACAAAAGTCCATCAAGAGAAGAAGAGAATTATTATGAGATTGGAGAACTTCAACAATCATTCTATCAACCACCAAAAAAAGAGAGTAATCATCAACCTATGATCGATAAACCACGACAAGCCTATAAGGTTTGAAGCAGTCAAAAATGCAGTTTTCTTTTCATAGTGATATATTCAGAATCCATCTAATCACTATTCAACATCTCACGACTTCTACCCACAATATCCAGCGAGTCAACCGCCCACAATGCCACCTGTGGGCAGAAATGGTAAATTCGTTACAACAAAAGTACTGATAAAATAACCTAAAATAACAATAACGTTTGTGCTGATCTATATTCATGACGTCAATCCACACAAGAATGTTTAGGATCTGCCGGTTCATCTCAAAATGGAGGATATTATTCATCGAATAGCTCCGATCACCATCAGGTATCATTAATGACAAAAAGAAAAATATATTTCTACTAAATTAAAGAATTATAAGCCAAGAGAATATAAACTAAATTTTAAAAATTAAATATTTATGCAACAATTTCAGGGTCACGCACAATTGATGCGCCGAGGGTCATTGGTGGGGCGACAGTCGATGAATTCAAGAGCCCATTCGCAAGATGAAGAAGACGATGGATTCTATGATAATATCGCACATGTAAGCCGAGAAAATTTTATCACGACAAACCTCAGAAAACTTTATCTAATGAACCTTTAAGATGGATGATCGTCGTCTTTCACGGGGAAGTGATGTCTTCGAGACCGGGTCGCTGAACCGAACCGCTTCCACAAAATCGTACACTCAAGGGAAGATTGGGTAGAATAGCTAAAAATACAAATATACGATTTTAATTGTAGTTCGTTTTTTCGTAAAATCGGCTCCGGACGTCCGCCCGGTGCTGCTGCGAGTCTCGTCTCGTTGAATAAGGTTTGAAGCAAATGCATTACCGATATTATGCTTGAAATTGTACCGATAATTTTCTAGGTATGTGTATCGTATTCACAAACTATTCACACCAAACTATTTTAAAATGTTAGCATAAAGCTTTTAGGCGGGAATCGAGCCAATCATTCAACCAACGGGTCCTCTAATGAAATCATCGAGTCTCAGTCAGGATCCTTGGAATAAGCATGTTCTTGGAGGGCCGAGTCTTCCATCTCGTAAGTTATTCAAGCTTAAACAATGATAATGTTCTAGTGTTTTACAAAGCATCAGCCTAGATAAGCATGCGTATTCATGCATTTTAAAGTGATAGCCGTCATCCATACGAATTTACTACGGCATATGTAACTTTCAGCAACGAACGACAAAAATAAAGGAATCGGCCAGCGCCTCAAAAATTCGCTTTTCGGCTCAAAAAAGCGACTTAATGGTTGAAATGAATTTATTTATCTCTTTGTGATTTCGGGTTACGGTAGTTGATTGCAACCAATTTAGCATCTAAAGTCTCTCTACCGTAATCCATTTCAATGATATATCTTCTCTTGTCTAATTCTCTAATTCTCCTTTTTTAAAATTCTTCTTTTTCGCCATTTCGGGGCTCCATCTTTTCAACAAAATATTGCGATTTATAGATGTTCGGGGTATTTTATGGAGCCGGGATCATAGTAGTGCCTTTGATTTTCATAAAAATGCCTTTGATTAGCCAATTGTTGAAGAGCTCTTTCATTTTAAAGCCTTTTTGCCAAACTCTGGTCAAAAATATGTTTGTATCGATGCTTTGCTCAATCCTCAACCCCAAATTATTTTTCGGTGTACGGTATACCTATTTATGTGGCTTTTTCTATAAGTGATGTCTTGTTAAATGTTTGCGACCGATAAATATTGATGATTTTTGAACTTAAATCAATTGCAAAACTTAAAAGTTGAAGAAAGTGCAAAATCACTGCAAATATTATGAAAAGACTTGCCAAACTAATCTTATCTTTTAGAATGCTAAATTGCGGAGTTTCTCTTTTGTTACCGTAGCCTATCTTTTCCTCCAACATGTAAATTAGGCTCTGAAATGTTCTCAGCTATTTTTGAAATGAAATTGTGCTATCCGGTTATACCTCCCCACCCGTTTTTATGTATCCTATCCTTTTGAGAAAAAGCGTGGATAGTTTAGATATTTTAGGTAAGCATACACATAAAGTAGATAACACAATGTATTAGGTTTAACCTAGTTAGTTATTAAGGTATGGAGAGGTATAACCAGATAATACCAATGAGATTTCTGAAATTTAGTAAAGCCTTACATTCTGACAGATGCCTTCTAAACTTGTTGAAGTAATTTTTATTCTTTTAAAATGATATATTTTATGTAATGTGGTGAAATAACACTTCTTTTAGACTTTCGGAAGTATGGACAAAGTGTTGCCGTTTCTTTGGATCGGTGATCGATTCTCGGCCGTCGATAAGATGGCTCTTGAAAAGTTTGGTAAGGATTTTAGTTTGTTTACTACGAAAATATGTAGGTATGTATTTTTTCATTATTTGGATAATATTGAAACTAGTGTTCAATTCAAAGTGCTCAAAGGTCACGGGCATAAAATTTCTTTTGAGTCGTAGTGACTAGATTTGTAGTTAGATTTGTTTTGTTTTGGCAAGATGCATTGTTTAACTTTAACTTTTTAGGTATACGCGAGATTTTGACGGTTTGCTCATATTCGGTACAAGACGAACAACAATCTCGGGTTAGTTGGTGTTTTTTGTAACTTTGTAATGTCAGGATTTAGAATATCAAATATCACCACGTCCCACTCGATGATTCGCCTTCACAAAATATTTTGCTACGCCTAGAAGAGATGTTGCACATTTTGCAAGGTTTATCAAGCAATATTGAGCTATAGTTAAAAGCTTTAGAGATTGATTATATCTTATGTATTTGGTTGTTTCACCCAAACTTAGCATAACTATGAAATATCCGACTCTGCAAAATTTGTAATAAAAGTTTGAAGATTGGTAAAATTTAGAGTCGATTCAAGCTGAGAAAAACATTCTTGTTCATTGTGAAGCCGGAGTTTCTCGAAGTGCGGCTGTGTGCTGTGCTTATGTCATGAAAAGGTAAATCTCTAGAACTTTTTAATTGAATTATGATTTAGCAAATCTTTGTCTATGAAAAAAGGACTGGACCATGTGAAATCGGCTCGTTTTTTTATTTGTCCAAACGAAGGTAAATACTTTAAACGTGAGTTTGTTTGTATAAATTAGAATTCTTAGGTTTCGTGAAACAGCTTGAAATCTTCGAGCAACTTTCTTGGAGTGCTGGCTTGGATACACTTAACAATTCTCCAATTTACCGGTAAACAATGTTCGCTCTGATTATCTCAAATCAGAGTTACTAAATGTTTATGAATTACTAGCATAAGTAATTACTGGATCTCAATCAAAAAAACTTGCTTTAGCTCTTGGTTACTCGAAAGCGGAAATCACCCGATGACGGAAGAAGAGGCAAAATCATCATTATTTATTCAAACACTGAAGGTAGGTACATTTTTATTAATGTATGCCTTATATTTTTCCTGATTTAGTCAGATTCAAAAGATCTTGCTCGTTATCGTTGTATTGCTTGTCGAACGGATCTTTTCTACGACTGCCACATACAACAACATATGAATAGAGCGGAAAAGGTTTGTGAGTTCTGACTCGGGCTTTGTGTTTAATGTTAAAAATGTCATTACAGTAATAAATTTCTTAAAACTGTCAATTAAATCTTATCAAGCTGATTCACACGTTTTAGGTTTGCAGATTCGGTTTCCTAATCGACCCATTGAATTGGATGGAGTTGGGCCAATATGAAGGAAAAGTTGGTTTTATTTTTCTCATCATGATTAATTTTTAAATCTTTCTAGATTCTTTGTCCTAAATGTTCATCAAAACTGGGAAGTTATTGTTGGGGTGGACGTGTATGTCAGGGATTTGACGGCGAAAAATGTGGAGCCAAGGTTCGTGATATATTATGCGAAAACCGGTGTTACCCATTTTATTTTGTAAGGATTGGATTTACATAGGTAACATATTTTATAATTAAATTTTCAGGTTCGACCATGGTTCTTTATTGGACGAGAGAAAGTAAGATTGCCTCTACCGTCTCAACCATTACCTCTACCGTCTCAACCATTACCAACACTTCAAAATCAAACTTCAGATATTAAAGCCGAATGAAAAACTAGTTGGGTGTTTTGCTTTCTTTTGGTACTTTAACGGGTATGTTGTATGATCGAGTTGATAAATGTGTATTTTAAAAGTTAGAAACGTAAATAAAATTGTGTTGCTGATAGGTTCAGATGTCTTTTTTAGGGTAAAAGCAAATCATATCACATTTATCCTCGAATAGAAGCATTTTCAAGACTTAGCTATCTCTTTGAACACTGAATAGGGCCAAAAACACACAAAAAAATCGGAATCCAAGAAAATGTTTTCCAATAAGCAAATGTCGTCGAGCAAAAATTCACAAAAAAGAAGGAAAATAGGAGACGTGGAGCAATATTTGAAAAATATTAGCGATTAGCGAATGAAATAAAATGTTAACGAAAAATTTGTTCTTTTAGCTAGGATAAAATAAATTTCAATAAGAATTCGGGGCTTTTCTACCACACCGGTAATATGCACGGTAAAGAATATTTTGCATTTTAAATAGAAAAATTTGAGGGAAACTTTTGCACTTGCTTTTAGGGGTTTATGATTAGATTTGATGGGATTAGATTGGAGAAGCAAAAAGAAATGAACATCGGAAAAAAAGAAAGCGTTTCTCATGTGGTCGATGCACGTTGTGTAAGAAATTATGAATGAAATGGGTCTGGGGAAACTATACAGATCAACAGACAAGTCAATTTAGGTTTTTTGAACCTCAGCATCTAGATAGTTTTCCCACATACATTTGAACTATTAAAAGCTCTTAAAGGATTCTATTCAGAAAAAGAAATTGCTCTTTCGCCTCACTAGGTAACCGTTTAGCAAGATTTAGGAAAAAATGAAAAATTTTGGGGGATTATTTTGAGTGGCTGTGTAAAGGTTTAGCTGGCGATCGATGAAAGAATCGAAAATTGGGTGAAAAGAGGGATAATTGAAATTGAATTATTGTAGAGAACAACAACCACATTTCTTCTTTTTGATGTGAACCATCTCAACTTGACCGGCTGGTGGAAGTTCGCTGTCGGCTTGTTGCTTACCACTGAAATTTTTTTTTGATATTCAAAGATTATAGTAAACGCAAAGTAGAAAAGGAGCACGATCAGTAAAATATTCAACGCCCAGTTGGTGTTCATACCCAAATCTTGCCTGATAATGAATTTTTATTCAACTCACATAGCATGTCCTCCTCTGTCCTCCGATCTTCTTCCCGGGGTATCGATAAGTGGTTGTGAGGCGGATTCTTTGTGTTGTTTTTCAGCCACGATGTCAGCTCTCGTTAAACCATTTTGATAGTAGGCAGGCGATTCTCTGAATATCATTTAATTGTCTCAATTTCATTTCGGAGATTAAAAAAACGCCGAGCGTTAGGTTTTGCCTCGAACATGCTTTAAAATCCAAAAAAGGTAGCAAGAAAAGAAACCCAAAAATCCACAAGACAATACGAATCTATCAAACAACTATATTATGACTGTGACTGTCTTTCAGTATTTCGATACCTGATTGATGGAGGAGTGATCGGACGTGCACTCTCGTGCAATCGCCCTTCCAATTCCTCGGGGCTGAAACTGGGAGGGAAATGCTTACTGATTGAAGAAAACCGCATAGAGCATTTAGTCTGCATACATATCAAGATTAAATCTGCTCTAACCCGATTTTAATTTATTATCAGTTTGAGTAATAGAAAATTCCCAGAGGGTGTAAAGGTTGGCAAAATTTAAAAAGTTCACGGTTAGGTATTTAAAAAACTGTTAAGCAAAAGCTCTTTCTATCTGGATTGAACGTTTTCTATGATTACCCGGTTGTCCCTATTTTGTATGAAAATTCTTGTACCTGTGATGACCATTGCTGCTGTGCTTGACGGGAGTATTGTTTACCGATCCAGAGTGAGATGGAGGAAAAGGTTTATGAAGATATTGTTCAACTATTGGATCCACCTGAAATTCCATTTATATGTATATGTCATAGCCGATTAAGATTCAATCTCAGGCTCAGGCTCTGATTCAGACTAAATCTTAATCGGCTATGACATATTAGGCTATCCAAAAAGTCTTTTCGATCCTTTTCGTACTTCCGTTGAAAAGTAACAAATTCACAATTAACCTATGGCTTGCTAAAGAAAAAGTGTTTATTGCCTTTGCTGTTTATTGCCTTCAAAACAAACCGTGGTTCAATTGGTGCATTTGTTGGTTTTAAACGAAAGTACGAAAAGGAACGAAAAGACTTTCTGGACAGCCTAATATACACATCGCATGTATTTAACGAAATGACTTGAATACAGGACTAGTGTCCACCCGGTAAAGTCCTATTCTTGATTGCTTTAGCAAACACACTCTTTCTGGTGCATACTTTTATCAAAAAAACTTTAATCTCACTCACCTCATGGTAAAGAAGATCTTGTGGCTTGAAGGGATTCTCGTGCTCTTCCATTCTAAAATTTAACATTTTTTCACGAACTATCAATCTACAATATCTAATCTTTCACAAAGCTCATTTTACATAAGCCAATCATTTGGAACTTACGAGAATTGATCTTTTAGAACACAGCTAAGAAATTGAATTTTATAATGGAATTCTTTTGGTGTAAGTAGCTGAGCTTACAATAAATTTTTTAAACACAAACAGATTCAAATTAAATTTGAATTTAATTATAACGAACTTGTAACTCCTCAATGGCGGACTTGTTGGCCTTCTTCCGTCTTCTTCAACTTCTGTTGGTGGGGCGATTGGTCGTGGTTCCGACGAATTCTCGGCTGTCACTCGGACTCTCGTTGCTGGAGCCGTTGGACTGAAATTTAAATGTCTAATCAAATTGCAGTGATTAGATCTTTTATATATTTTCAAGTCAAGAAAATGATCGACTCAAAGTTAAGTTGGTATAAATAAAAAAAAACAGAAATAATCAACTGAAATCATCCCTTCAAACTAGCAAAAGAGTCTTAAAAGCATTAAAACTTTTAGAAAAACTCTTTCAACTCATTCATAAGTTGTTTAACTAGCTCAACCTACATGGTCCAAGACCCATAATATGGATCATTTTCCGGGTCTGTTTTTGCTTTCGCTTTTGTCTTCGAATTTCCCATTGATCAATATGTTTTTGAGGAAAAATACAGTAAAAAGTAAAACAGTTTCAGAATTTTGAGGCACCAGCACGAAAAAAAGTGAGTATTCGGCGCAGATACAGGTGAGTATATAGAGTGAAATGAGAAGAGAAAATGGGGAAAAGAAGAGACAAACAATCGGAGAATTATATGAATGAAAGTTTCTCTTTTTGCCATCTCTCTTTTTGAGAGAGTATTTCTGTCATTTCATTTCCGATGTTAGTTTTTCTCTCACCGCCATCCCGCAATTTTCTCTCATCGATTCACTTCTCTTTTTTGCTCGTGTAAATTTCGATAGCGCCTATTTACCGGTTGTGAGCGTGAAAAATTTGTGTTTACTTGCGGCCAAAAATTCTTTTCGAGCGGATTTAAGCAGATTTTTGAAAATAATTACATGTAGGCGGAAAGCAGAGCTTTTACGGAAATCGATCTATCTTGTGGCTGTCTCAAAGCTGTCTCAAAATCTCAAAAATGCAATCAAATAAAAACGTTTTACTAAAAACAGTACAATAATAAGGAATTTTTGTATCTCTCAGTACTAATAATAAATAGAATGCGGTAATTTGAAAGAACAAGAGAGAGACTTCCCCTTTCAGTCTATTCTTCTCTACTCATTTTCTCTTCTCTTATCCACATCCATCCCCATCTGGTCGGATGGGGCAATCGAGAATAATTTCGTTACCCCAAATGCTCCCCATCTATTTCTCTAGTCAATGCAATGAATGTGGTTAAATAATAGAAAAAAAGGATTTTACATTACATATAAATCTTTATAGAATATTGGTATGATTTGAACTGTATAACCACATAAAAGCTTCAACAACTTCCTAACAACTGACTACTTTGAGAAGTTCTACCCTGAAAGACCCTTTCGAAGAAACTTTGGCATTGATTCACGTGATAATTGGGTAAATGAACCAGAGAAGCATGAGTAAATAAAGAAAGCACAAAAGCACAAAAAAAAGCAGTCGGCTATAGTTGAAAGTGGGTGTGGGTAAGTAACTCCATTGTGTCCAAAAATGGCCTCCTTCTCGTCTAAAGCCTCCATCCGACAACCCGGGTCTCTTTTAGAAAAAAACACTGCTTTACTTGGTCTTTTCCCCATTTAGAAAAATAACTGGCCCGTTCTGGAGGTTTTTCTAGAAAAATCCTTTGAGTTCATCCATCGAATTCATCAAGATTCCCATAAAAGAGTTGCAGAAGGCATTCAACAAGTGAATGCTTCAAATTTCAAAGAACAAAAATTTCAAATTGTCTTTGCAAAAACCTCATTGAGAGTTTTTCAGAAGAAATAACTGAAAGCTAAAAAACCACAAGGCATCCAAAATTTTTTGAGACAATTTTGAAATGGACAAAATTTGGGGTAGAGCTCTGCTATTTTTTTTGGTAAGCTGTTGTAAACAATATTATCGGCAAATATCATCTGCAAGTTTGTGTTGAAAGCTCAAAAAGACAACAAGTATTAGTGATTCGATCAAATGGGGAGAGGAGGGTCATTAAAAATGTCATGCAACGTTTCGATTTAATGGTGATGTGAGAGAGAGCCTGCTCAATTTGTTGAAAGTATTTTTTCTTACTCTTAAGAGCAATAAATTTAAGGTACAAACTTGGTTCACTAGTTGGATATTGTTGAAACAAAAAATAACGATGCCATTCAAATTTCAAACCAAAAAAGCGTGGTTGTAAGCTCAAACAAGAATACCGAACAGTATTCAATTCTAAAAGTAAACATTTACTAATAGATTCATTCTAATCAAAAAGCTCTAGCTTGAATCCCCAAAATCCTTTGGGAATCGAAAGAGATGAATTCTATCAAAGAATCTGTGGCCATTCGATAGAGGGGAAGAGTAAAAGTTTATGGAATAAAAGAGAAGGAAAGAGACTAGTCGATTCGTATGAGAGAATGAATATTTCTTTTCGTTTTCTTCAAATCTTCCCCATTTCTTCTTCAAAGAATGTCATAGTATGGGATGGAAGGGAATGGCTGATTGCGAGTCAGATAACCCTTTGGGGGACTTCTCGAGATGAGAAGGGAAATAGAGAAACGATGAGAAGAAATTGGAAGAAAAAAGAGAGACAAAGATTGGACTAACAATCAATCTCACTTTGGTGAGTCTAAAAGAGAAAAAGACACGTCAATGGGACTCACAAATAAGTCGATACTGAGACATGGAATTTGATACTTGCCGCAAATGATACGAGGGTTGATGTAAAGCTAAAAAAAGGGATAACTTTGAGATGCAAAGCGGAATGTGAAAGAATAATTTGTAAATGGTTGGCTCAATTGTTTTCGAGGTAATCCACAAAACACTGAAAAGCTTGCACAATTAAATGAACTGAAGAAGGGGCACAAATTAGGAATTGGATGGACTCCGATGGATGGCCCTTTTTTGCTTTCAAAACTAAATGTAAATCAATAGGATGCAACGTCAATGATGGTAGCTCGAAATTTGCGGTAAGTCAGGCAAAAAGGCGGTGCTAGAGAGAAAACGAAGACCTTTTCAAGGCCATTCACGGATTTAGTTGCGAACTCTATGACTAAAAAAACTTCAAAAATGGACTGTCTGGTTGTCAGTGTCTCTAAAAATTTTTGCAAGCCTTCTTTTCCAGCGCATCGATCAAATCCATTTTTGTGTATTTGTGTGTGTCTGTCGGGTCTCTTTTTCTTTATTTGACCATGCATTCATTCTACCCAAACGACCGCCAACAGTCAATATGTCCCTGAGAAATGTGAACACACAAAAAAGGGAATCGGTAACTCTTTGATGTTTCGATGAGGCGAGGAAATGGACGGATTACCCGGAAGTGTTATAACGAGAGAAGATTCAGTCGTTTTACTCTGGTTAGGTTAGGTTGATTCGGCTATTGGTTAAACGTTAAAATATCCAACAAGCTTGCCCGATATCTTTAGATTTAAGAAGTACAAAAATAGCTTAAAAAATAAAAGCTATTTAACTATTTCAAAGCATTATCCACATCATTAGGGGTTTTGGAGTGAGTGCATTAAGCAAAGAGAATGGGTGAGGGAATGGGGCTTTTCACGCAAACCAATGAGTAGTCGGAAAAAAAGAGGAAAACGATGAGAGAAATGAATAGACTGGCAATGACCTGGACATTAAATAGAAAGGGGAAAAGAGAAAGGGAGAGACAAAGAATGAAATGGACGGCAGAGGAAGGATAGGTATGCATTTTCGAGTGACCCGCAAAGCGGAGACCCACTTTGGACCTCTCGGAGATACAATGTGTGTGGCTTTTTGGAGAATTCCCCGTGGGAGATCGGACTTAGATCGATAAAAGTCTGCTGTTTCTCGGATGCTTGAATTAAGCAATAGGCAACTAACCGACTTTGATAGGAAATGTGTAGAGCATGAGTGGCACAATGCATTGTATTGCAATGGGGAAAACTGCGAGCTTACAATTAGATAATCGGTCGAAATACGCAGACCTCTTATGAAGTTGAGATGCAGAGGTTATAGAGCTTATATTGTTAGCAGAGATTATATTGTTATAGACAAACGAATATGTAAGCTTTCATAAACATCAAGATATTTTGTCCAACATGCATTTGCGACAATGAAGCTAGAAACCACAGCTTAAAGAAAAACGAGACAACAACACACAGTGTCTCGTTGTCGCACCATGTGTCCTAAGGATTGAGTGAAAAGAATAAGAAAGAATGTGAACCGATTGAGAAAACGGGGAGGGGAGACCCCGGTTAGAGGATTGGGGAGGGGAGGAATTGGGAAGGGCTATGGGAAAGGACATTAGAGAAAAGAGAGATCCCGATAGAGGGCCCCGTTCCCCTCTTTTTCTTGGCCCTATGTCTCATTCTTTGGCTCTTTCCTTTTCATAGCAAAAAAGGGGCTTTTCTCGGTCTAAAGAGAGCTCCATGTTGCCGAATCGATCTATGTAGCATCAAGCCGAGAACCCCGAAAAGAAAAAGAGGACAACTAACAGAGAAATGTGGGGATCGACAAGCATGCTTATAGAGGATTCAGTGTTCAAACAGATAGATCTTTAGTTAGTTGAGTTGTTCAATTAAAGTTGTTCGTTGCTTAAGTCTTCAGAGACTGGTGACTTGCAAAACTGTTCGTAAAACTCTCCTTGTAAAAGTCGTGTTTGGCAAAAGGTACAAGTGTTTTAGCTAGAAGCTTGCTCTTCAAAATGTCTTTTTCACTTGAAGTCTTTTCTTTTTTTGAGCATCCACAAACAACTCTGACTTAGCATAAGCATGAGCCACATGGGGATTTCTTTTCTCACATAGAGATGCCCATCAAAGGGTCAGTGTCTTGAGGGGAAAGTGGAAACTGGCCGAAGGAGCTTACAAAAAAGGGATACTTGTTTTCTGGTTCTTCAAATATCCCTTCTGCATGGTACCTTCTATGATTCATACAATTTGTTGAATGAACAAATGTTTGTTACGAGTGAATTGATGTATAAACTGTACAAAAAACTAAATTATTCTATCCGTTTTATGCAAACATTTATTCGAATGATTTCTTTCAGATGAGAGTATCTGGGGAATTTGGAGAATCGGGTTGAGGATGAGGAAACGGGAGGGGTGAATGCAATTGTTCTCATCCTCTCCTACCCTTTCACCCATAATGGGGCCCTTTGACGAGAAACGAACGGAAAGCCTCTAATCAAGAATGAAGAGAAAAGCCAAACGACTTAAAGAAAGGTTGCA